TGGAAAAAAACTTGAACGAAAATTGAGAGTATTCATTACGAAAATAAAGCCATCAAATGTGTTAAAACGGTCAATAAACTTATTGACCGACTTATGCTTATGCATACACACACGTACACTCAGCCGAGCTGAGATACCTGTATAGCAACGCCCCCTCGCTAGTTTGCCTTCAACGCGGGCAGATTGTGCTCCACTTTCATGGCATTTACTTTCGCTTTTTATATACCGCATACACACACACACGCACACACACTGCTTGCGTGTGTGTGAATACTAATCGCCTCAATACGAGGTTTTGTTATTGTTCAAACTGTGTCGACGCTTCTGCTGCAGCTGCTGCTCTGAGGTTTATCTTGATTTAAGCCATCGCAATCGAGCCCAGTCAACCCGATGAGCGCTCCAAACGCACAGTTTCTTAACGACCTTGAGACTGTTACCGGTTTCTTTAGCCCAACATAAACGTCTGCCTTTACCACTGCTCAATGTGTGTGTGTGTGTGTACAATTATGTGTGCCTTCATCTCTGACTGAGTGTGTGTGTGTGTGTCTGAGTGTGACTATCTGTGGCAGCATCGACGTTTTTATGCTCATCTTCAGCGCTCCACTATTGCATTGGTTAGGATCATTTGAAATAGTCTCAAGTTTTAATTGAATTATTTACCTATACCATTTACCTTTTACGGCGAGATCGGTCTTTGCAGTTGCAACATCGCTATGCCAACCAATTCCGCCCACACTACCTTGAGACATGCAATGTCATCTACCTGTATTCGATAGTTGTTAAAGAGTTCTAGAGCTGCGCTCGTATTCTACTATAGTTTAAATGAGCTGAGGTGATTGCTGGTATTGCTATAGGTAATTAACCTTTGCTAGTTGAGTTCAGTGTACAATAGCTGTGAGGTAAGGTAAGTAGCTGAAGCTCGGATGCAGTGAGTCTCTCTGCTGAACGTATGTAAATGAAAGTCAAACTGAGTTTTGTTTGCTTTAGCTATTGGCTGGGCCCGACTGGATATTGATTTGGGTGTTTCAACAGATGTATGATTTATTAATAAGGGTATGCTAATCAGAGCTGTCAAGCGCATACACACGCATTCTCTAATACACATATTTTGTTTTATATATTGTTTTTATTGCAGGTCTTAGCCATGGCTAACTGTTTGTGTGCGTGCGTGTGTGTGTGTATTAAAACTAATTTTAACATTCGCTGCGTGTTGCAATGCGATGAAAGCGTCACTCGTTTTGCAAGCTGCTGGTTTTTGCTACTGTTATTGCGCTTGCCACCAATGCAAACTTGGCTGGGACTGGCCCATTGCCGAAGCGCCGCTCGTTAGCAAGTTCGTTGCCTAAGTCATTTGATTTGTCACATATATACGTACTGGGCGAATCCGAAATTCAACTGATCAAAGTGAGAAAAAGAGTGAAAATATCAAATATATATGAACACAAAGCAAAATATATATTTTTACTGCATTGAACGAACCTTCAAGATGACCTAAACTCGGTTGTTCGGCCAATCATTAGCATTTGTATTTGGCCCAATGTTTAGCCATTGGCTTTCGGTCGAACTAGACACCATTTGGTATATTATTTAATCGACAATATTCACTTGACACATTTCCTTGTATTTAAAATCTTGGTCAGCTCTTTTGCTCAAACTCTTTGCTATAAACTCCACATATCCGCCTTCGCAAGCCGTTGACCAACGGATATCAGTGCTTTCGAAATTAACTTAACAGTTTGCTGATCACTCTATTTAAGAATATTGTTCATGTACCTGATATACGCAACATAACAGTTAAGATGGGATGCTGCTTTGCGGAAGGACTACCATTCTTCTTCTCCTGATAGTCATCTCTACTCAAGCTTAGAACAATATTCGGCAGTGCATTTTTGTATTCTCTGCTTTTCTTTTTCCTCTCCATGTTCCTTTTTCTCTCCCCCATTTTTCTCTCTCTTTCTTTCTCCAATTCTCTTTTTTCTCCATCTCTTTTTCACTAACTTCTTTTTTTTTCTCTTTCTATTTAGCTCTCACTATTTCTCTCGCTTTCTTTCTCTCTATTGCGCGCTCTCACTCCCTTCCTGTTCCTATTTATCTCTCTCTCTCTTTTTCTTTCCCTTTTTCTATATATATATACCCTTACTGTCTGTGCCTCTCTCTCTTTATTTCTCTCTCCCTCTTAGTACTTTCTTGTTTATCTCTCTTTATGTCATGACTGTGCTCTCTCTCTCTTTTTCTTTCTCTCGCTCTTCCTCTCTCCTTTCCCTTGTAAAAACTATTTGAAATTCTTCCCATTCACCTTGAGCTTTCCATTCGCTATCTCCCATTTTTATATTTATTTCTTCCAACTATATTCTATATTTTGTAACTTTCTATCATTTTCGCCTTTCACATGTCTTCAAAATTTGTTCCGTATACATATTTTGAATATATTTCAATTAAATTATATGAAAAATTTAACAAAATATATAAATATAAATAAATATATGTTATATATTGTTAATTTTTCTATAGACTAACTAAAATATATTTAAGCATTATATATTTAAGTATATTTATGATAAATATAAATATCAATATAGTGTAAACTAAGCATTTATAGTGCACTTTAGTTGCTGCTACTGAGCTGACTATAGCCACTTACAGACGTATATGTAAATACTCACCACATATATTTTGAGTTTCGCTGGCTGTCAAACTTTGTAGCAATGTGAACTCTCACTGGCACTTAGCACTTAACAACAACAATGCAAACAAAAACAACTTTAATATTTTAATAAAATATTTTGTAGCCTTTACGCAAAATCTTGCACTCAAATTTTCTTTTGCACATTAAGAATTTTAGTTAATAGTCGAAAATAAAATAATAACATTCACTAAAAAAAAAAATAAATAAACAGTGTAAACAGCGCCAAGGCGTCCGGAATGTCACTTGGTCTTGTGAAAGATTCACGCGTAACTGAGGCCGCGCAACTGACAGACGAACACGAAAAGAAATATGTAAAAAGCACAGCGCAGTAATAAGTAAAAAGCATGTTTATAATGTGCCCCGCACCGCCCTGCCCCACCCAAATGACATTGTTACATGCAACGAAAAGAAAGTGACAAACTATGCGCTTCACTGGAAAAAGCAGCTGATGTCAAGAGAGAAAGAAGCGCAGAAAGTGTGCGAGAGAGAGTGAGCGAAAGAGAGAGAGAGAGAGAGAGAGAAGCGGCAGCGGTGCACAACAATTGCGAATAGCATTGGAAATTGAATCGGAACAAACGACGACAATCGAACCAAGCCAATCGAACTATCCCATGCTGCTACCATTATCATTTACTCAGTGAAGGGCTGCAGAGCGCGCACTCGACTTAAGCGCACTGCGCGTCACATGAATAGGGCAGCTAGAAATGTGCTCTAAAAAATATATATACATATTTGTATATACTCTAAATATACAATGAAAGTTATTTACTGTGCTCAACGATCTAAATGATAACTATGCACTATGATATTTATATTTGTATATATTAATACCCAAGCTTCTGCTACTTCCAGTCAATTTTCTTAAATTAAATAGAAATTAACACCTGAGATATATCTTGTATTTATTCCCCTTCTTTAAAATTATTACTTTCTTATTATTCGAGCAAAATTAATCCCTTGATCATTTCTTAAGACCATCTATAGCAGGCTAAGCAATTTCCATGAAAAGAATAAGAATATGTTATATATATATATAAATTGTTACATATTTAGCTCTTGTATGTAACGAGAATAGGGCATACGAACAACGCTATGTTGACTCAGCTACTCACTTTGATCGAGATGGGTAAAATGGGCTCAACTACAGTAAGAGGCATTCTATCTGTTGCGCTAAATTCCCATTGTAAATGGACTTCCAGTTATATATGATACGTATATATATCTTAAGAATTTTCTACTCAATTGTAATTTAATAAACAATTCTGCTACTTATTTATTTATCATGCATCACAACTCTTAGATTAATTTTTTCCATTGCCCACTTTATAATAAATTTGTTTTTTTCCAAGCTAATCATATACGAATTAAATAGACACTGCAATTGACTTGATCATACAAATTAAATAGACACTGTTTAGGCAAGTCACTGCCCTTAGATAATGACTCCATCTCTAATGTGGATTATATATAGCTATGTGAACAGACTCTTCCCCATCTTAGCGCCAAATGGTATTCAAGTATCGCGCATTATATAATGTTTTTAGAGTCCAATGACTGTTGTCTATGTAGCAAAGTTCAGATTAAGGCTGGGCATAACGATAAACCCATTTCATAAATCTTAGCTAGGTAGCTCAACTCAAAGTTCCTGACCTTAGCCAACTCGAAGTGGGGAGAGTGTGGGTCAGACGAGAGGCTGGGCGATGTTGGTCTCAGGCCTTGGTTCTGTTGAATATAACACGCTGATTTAACCTGGCAATTAGCTAAACGAGGTGCACTCGAATGGTTTGCCTCAAGCTCACAAAGGAAATGCCAAATTGCACATGGCATATTTGCTGCATAACGACTACAGCAAACCCTTTCGATCTTACTGGCTGTTTGCTTAATTACAGCAGTGAGAGTGAATTTCACTTGAGCGTAACACACATTTCACTTAACATTAATGTTGGAGAGAATAGTTTAGAGTGGCTCGAGCCGGCGTCTTCTTACATCATCCACTCAACTGGCCAGCTGTCCGAGCTGCAAGTCGTCACGGCTTACGCACATCCCCTGCCAGTTAAGAGCCAGGCTAACAACAGCAGACACATCTATCCGCTTCTGCTCAAATAGTGCTTTACGCTTTCTTAACCGCTCAACTAAGCGACTATTTACTATTTAGCATTACCTTATCAGACGATTACAAAACCATGCAAATGTATCGACGGAACTAACTCTTTATTTCTTATGAACTACTTAAGCGAAAAACAAAAAAAAAAAACAAAAAAAAAATTGTTATTAATGCGTTATATGAAGATGCGACTTTCGGTTAGCGGCTGGCCTAGATTTCCGGCCACGACCTGTGTTCGGCTGGCTTCATGTGATGGCTGCTGCTGGCAAAGAGCCCCGTGGAGGCATGTGATGCACCGCCCGAGGCACCCAGCGCCGCATTCAGCAGCAGCCCCAGAGCACTGCTCACCAGGTGCGAGGCGACTTGCTTGATGAAGCCATTGGAATCAAAGCCAGCTGAGCCGTGGGCCTCCTTCTTCTTCTGGCGCGGCAACTCAGCGCTGCCGTGACGCTCCTCAGATGTCTCGGAGGGCCGCAATTTCGACTCCAAAAAGGCGCTCAGAAAGTTTTTGGTAAACGTAAATGGCTGTGGGGGTCCCTCGTCTTCGGGATCCTGCAAAGACAACCAGAGCGCAGTTATAGCCAGCACAATCCACACAGTCTGTCCACTCATCAAGGTTAGTAGCACAAACACAAATTTAATAATATCAAAAGGCATAAGTACTGCGCTCAACGAGGCCAAAACGGTTCCAACAAAGTTGCCCAGAAACTGTCCATTGTTTATCTGAAGCATGCAAATAAATGAAGATAGTCATCATAATGCGATTATCTAGCGCAATCCGCGGACTCAGACATACCGCGCCGCCACCACCGGACAGTCCATCGAAGGCCGTGCCCACGTACTGGCCCAGGACAGTGCCAAAGTTCTTGTTGCCCGCCAGTAGGCCGGACAGCAGCGACGTTGCCGTGCTAATCAGCGCCTCAATGTCCAGGCCGCCCGGCTACAGGTAAAGAAACCAAAGAGAAACTTTAACGTAAACGAGCTGCCCTTGCACCATTATCGTTGCACACAGCTTACGCCAAAGAGCGTCGAAATGAGGCCCGTCAGTGCGCCAATCAGGGCGCCCACATCCGAGCCGCCCTCGCCCTGCATTGAACAATGTGGTTAGTATTACACGATGCTCATTATCCGCCGCTGGCGCGTGCACTTACACCACTTAAGCTGCCGATGATGCCGACAAGACCGCCGCCACCTCCGCCGTTGCCGTCCGGGCCGTCGTCAAGCTCCGTGGAACTGATTTCATCCTCCTGCTTGGCATTGGTTTGAGTCTTGGTTTTAGCTGTAATATTCCGCGACTTCATAGGCGCATTAATGAGGAATTATTCAACTCTTTAGCTGAGATGGAAGTTTTCAATTAAATAAATTGTCGCGCTACTCAAAAAGACATTTCAAGCACTTGATTCATCTTTTTTTACGGTTAGTTTTGTTAGCCAGTAAACGCTTGATGGACGCCTAAAAGATACCCCCTAACTGGATTCGTTTGGAGTGAATTTGTATGAAAGCTAAGCCTTCGTATTGACCTGATTACTGTTTAGGGAGAAGTCATTGACCTGATATTCGAGACATAAATTAAGGATGCAGAACATCTATCTAGTCAGGCCCAGTAGACTAGTGAGCTTATTAGAGTTAGTCACACCATAAAGCTAGGTATAAGTGAAGCAAAAAGTACTCACAACATTATCCAGCTCATCGAACTCGTTTTCCGACTGAGCTGCGCCTTTGCTGTCGTCGTTTTTCTCGAACTGTTGCACCACCAAATTGTCCCGGAAGTCCGTCTCGTCCTGCATATTCATTTCGATGATCGTATAGCACGTTAAGCTCAGCACAAATGCTACTCACCTCTGCCAATTTGGACTTGGCCTCCAGCATGTTATCGATCTGGTCATTTATGTTTTCGGGGCTCTTTAGCTCATTGACTGCCCGCTTGTGGAGGACCTTGTGGCTGGCCTTGTCCAGTGGCCCGCCAGCTGTGGCATGCTTCAGTATATAGTCCAGGCTTCTCTCGATTTTCGTATCCAAATGACTCTTCATCTGCGGCACCTGATCCAGTATGTGGCAGCGCAGCTGCCCCAATCGCTTGCCCAGCTGCTGCTCCTCGCCATGCAGCTCCTGGCCAAGTGTCTGGAGCTGCAGCTGCTGTTGCTCCTTGAGTACTCTGTGCACTTCTTGACGGAACTGCTGCTCGCTCTTGTCGTTGCACAACAAGTCCATGGCGCTGCCGAGAATGTTGAGCGCGTGCTGATCGCGCGACATTTGCTGCTCGATCGCATCGATCTTTGGTAATATGTTGTGGCTCGGCTCTGTCTCGGTCTGCTGCAGCAGCTCCTTGATAGCCTGCACCAGGTGCTGCTCCATTTGCTCCTTGGTCTGGCGTGCGCCATTCAGCAGCCCCAGGCCCGTCAAGGCGCGCAGCTCCTCCGGCGGCAGGCTGCGCTCCAGCCTTTTATAGGCATTGATAGCGCGCAGGAATTGCGCTTGCAGCTTCACTCCGCCAGGCCGAGCGCTGGTGCCGCTCCAGGAGCAGGCGCAAATCAAGAAAACCAACAGCAGCAGCGCCTGCAGCTGCCCCGTGTTGTTCATGGCTTGATCGCTTTACTAAAACACCGCCCAGCAGTACACTGTACTTTATATATGAATCAATTGTCCACTGCAATCGTGGATGTCATCCGCTTCGTTCCGATCAATCCATCGATCGCCACAACTCTTCAGTCAACTTTTTTTCCGCTTAGCCGCATTTGGGCGTACCCATGCCTCCTCCTTCTCAACTCCTCCTGCCCTCGCTTCGCTGCACAATTTGTTTTGTATTGGGTAATCGTTTGTGCCCATAGCTATAGCAGCTACATATATAGCTATATATGACTTAGATATGTATTTTGTTGCCCAGTGATCCATGTCTACATTCGATTGCCCAACTAGCTCATGGTATGCAAATTTCCTCAAGTAAATAATTATTGTTTGAGCTCGAAAGACTTGAAAGATCTGTTGGGATATTCTTATAAGATGCTTAGCTAGACTGGTCTGTGCTTAATGTACGTCGGGCGAGTGCACGGAGATCAGAGTACTTGAATCTAGAAGTGTCACAACATTAGCCTCGATATTCTACCTTAATTGCCATTGCGGGAATGTACAAATTTTCCACTGTCGTTTCAATAAAATAACTCAAAATGTGAGGTCAAAAGTCGCAATCTGGCTCACCCCTTGGCCGGCAGTAAACGTGTCAACGAATCTACTTATAGCAGCCAGCTTAATATGTCACCCTCAATAGTCGGTCGTTAGTCTCAGCCCACTGTCAATCAACGACTTTTAAAGCATGCGATTTCAGATTGCCAAGTCTTCACGATAGAAAGAGACCCGACAATTAGTGTTTGGCTGTCAATCAATCAACATAAATCTATGACACTAATTGTACAACATTATCTGCATCGGTTAGGATCGCATTCACAGCGCTGTGAAATGATCAAATTGAAAACCAACTCAAGTCGTTTCTTTCTCAGCATTCTTGACTCTCAGCATAACATATCAGAAAGTAGATCGATCTGAAATGCAAACTGAAGCAGCAGCTATCTATTTCCGATAAGTATAATTGTTTAAGTTATCGATAACATCTAGCTGCTATATAATAAGACCTATCAGCAAATCCCAGCTCAGTTCCTGCATCACGTTCTACACAAGTGATGCCAGACTAGAAGTTGTGCTGCAGTAATTTGGCGATTCTGATTGAGCAACCCTCGCTTGGTTCCCTTGTTCCAACTTCAAGCTCTCAGCTAAGGCCAACAAGCCAAGTGAAACTTATGATTGAAAACAGCAAAGCCAAAGCGACAATTTCTAGTCTAGAATTATCCCAAGTCCTCTTTAGTCTGGCTGTTAAGTGCATCTATTTAACCTTCAGTTTAATCTGTTAACAGCCAGGCCTGGCTTGGAGTTCACATCAAAACGTAGACAGTTGAAGCTGAGCCCTGAGGACTACCTTCTGTCTTCCTGTGGTGCTGTCAAGAACTATAACAACTTTAGCTTATCAGCGAAAAAATGTCGAGCTTTTATCAATTTTATGTGACTTTTACATCGTTACACTGACGGCTTGGGCTAGAGTGGAAAATATTTACATCAATAAAATTTGATTTGATTTGATTTGATTTGTTTATTTCGTGATTCGCCGTCAAGCGCACAGGTAACTAAAAAGAAAAAACATTGTAAGCTGAAATTGTTATTGGGCTTTCCGCCGTCGAAGACGGAAGCGGAAATAGCGTAGCCAAGTCACGGTTATGAGCAATCAGCGGCGGCATCAGCACTTGACATTGCCGAGCCGAGCCGCACAAATTGCGGACCACACAAAGATAACAGCTTTATACTTACATACAACGACGCGTCGTTGGCTTTGGCTTGCCATTGAGGCTGGAGAGACTTAAATCTCTGAGCATTAAGTGTAAGTGCGGAGATGTCAATTAAAGGGCGAGCAAATAAACTAGTTTTTAGCTACGCTAAATGAGATCTGGCTAAGTGCCCGACCTTACGCGCTTCAAATCGAACGATAATCAAAAGATTATTTACGAGGAATTGCTAATTTCCAGTCTGCCTTTGTCTAGCTCAGGAAAGTGACATCTAAGCTTTATCTATGATCCAAAAATTGATCAAAAATATTTGAGATGTTCTGAGTTTCAGCAGCTGCATCTCAAATGGACAAACATTGCGAACGAGCAGGGAAAGAAAAGAAAACGAATAAAAGTAGGTGAAATTTTGCAGCTTTTTACTGACTCTGGAGTTGGTGGAGCGTTGCAAACGTCAATCGAATGTCGCTGGATACCAAATAGGAAAATAAGTTCAGCAAAATCAATTAACGAACAGGCTAAAGCCAGCCTGAAGGCCGCCAGCAGCTGGCTGGCTGCTTGACTTGGCCCGAACTTGTGGTTATGTGTGTGTGTGTGTGCGTGTGTGTGTACGTGTGTTAACACATATCTTTGTGCAAGAAATAATAACCTTGCCAAATCGTTTGACTTTGTTTTCATTAGTCGCCGAAGCTTGGCAAACCCAAGCAACACGCTGCATTGCAGCTTGACAAAAATAAAAAACCAAAACCAAAATAACAAAAATACATAATATAAAAACAAAAACAAAAACAAATAAAACAACAAAAAACTTATAATTTTATTGGCAAAATAGCTATAAACTTTGCACTGGTTTTAGCAATTTATGATTGCATTTAGTGTCTTATTGATAAGCGAACTTTGAGTTGTGGCAGGAATTAGAGCGGGGCCACACACACAGATACAAATTCACACAGCCACACAGACAGAGAGACTGAAACATATTGCCATCTGATGTGTAATACCTATAGAATCTAAGCTAAGTTGATAATTGTTTGGCAAATTGCTGCAAACTTCAAATTGACAGCAGCCAACGTTGTTATACCCTATGAAAAGAGAACTCTTCAAGTGAGCTGTATGCAGCCAGACTTAATATGCAGCTATTCAGATAGAGTTAACCTAGAATATATATGATATAAGTTGGCTAAGTTGGCTGTGCTTCGTAGCCTATAGCTCTGAGTATCATAAGATTTGCTGGAAATTCCGAGATAAAATGAAATTTCAATAGAGATACAGACCTGGCCGACCTGGCAGACCTGGCATGAAGCATACTTAGCCGATCAATAGGCAGTGTAGTCAAAACAGATGTTGTCATCGATGTCGGTCACGTGTGGCGCCATGCCATAGCTTGTGGCTGGAGCATAAACTCTGCAACGTTTATAACGCTTAATTGCTGTAGTTGTATGTGATTGAAGCTCGTAATTCAAATCATTTTTAAATATCTATGCATGAAACAATTCATATGGCCAGACCGCTTTTAATGCTATAGGCCCTGACTGTTCAGGTTTCTGGACAATATGCATTATATTGCCAAATGTCGATGTGGCCATCAGGCCGCAATCCCGCGCCTCCGGCAGACTGACACAACAAAGCCCGCATACAGAGTCAACACTTATATAGAGCGAGTGTGAGTCCATAAAGAAGTAGGACTTGCAAGACATTCGCTTTTGTATCTCAGCTCTTTGGCATGGCTTGAGCCATTTGCTGTCCAAGGCCTGATCAATTTTGAGTGATTTTCGAAAGAGTTTTACAACTCATCCCAGTGCACTTCATTTGTGGCTAAATCGCAATTATTTTGCTTAAATTATTTAACTTTCGGTGCAATCGATTGCCGGACTGGCGGAGCTCTGGGCCTTTCTAGTGCCTCCTGCCAACTCGACTCAAGTAAACATAAACGCCAACTCATTGGGAGATTTGTAATTGAATTTTTTCTTACCAAATCATTTCAATCAAAGTCAGACGGGCCAAAGCGAAACCAGATTTCGCAAGTCACTTAGCTATTCTTGGCCAGTCTAATTAGTTGACGCTCGCAGCTGACCCCAAGCGCTTGGCAAAAGCCGTGAAATGTCGCCGAGTTGCCGACTTGGACTCGTGGACCCAACGCAACCAATGAAGATAATAAAAATGTTGCGCGACAACTTCAAAATCAACGAGACAAAACAACAAAAAAAAACAGTATAAAGTGCCAACCTGATCAATATCACGCTGAGCCCTTCGCAAAGTCACTAAAAAGTCGAGGCATGATTAAAATCTGATAAATCATCAATTTTGCTCTGTTCCGTCACATGTGATTATCTGCGACAAGCAGAGGAAATGTGTCAGGAAATTTTATGATCTTAATTAGCACACAGAGCAGACCCAAGTTAACTCGATTTGTTCGATCGGAAAAAATCTTTTTGAAGTATATAAATTAGTAATTTTCATATGAATCTATAAAGACCTCCCTCAGTTATTCCAGAGTGCCTCAATACTGGGTAACTTCTAGTTGGACACGCTTAACTAGCGTAGTTGTACCTGATTTCTTTTGACACCTTAGTATAACGCCAGACAGACGAGATCCAATTTTCTGTTGCTCACTTCGGACTCTTAAAACGGGTCTAAAACTGGTACGTGGACTTGTGTGCCAATCACCCAAATGACAGCCCAGCCCCAGCAACAAGCCGCCAAGTTAATATTATGTATTATACCCTGTACTACTATATATACCCAGTAAAAAAAATCATGCTCTATTTGGACAGATGTATATTATTTGGTTGGGGGCGGCAGTTGTTTAGGCTACAGATTATTGACTCAGAATTAGCAGTTCAACGTATGCTTTTTTTAGAGTTACATAAGCTTAAGTCATAGTAAAAGAAATAAATGTATTTGTAATATCAATGAAATGAACTTTGTTTAATATAACATCTCAGGACATTTGACCAGTATGGCTGGCACTTAAGAGGATTAATCTAGCATGTTAATTTTTGCAGTCATCACAATCATAACCGTCGAAGCCTTTGAATACATATGAACCAATGCCTCCGTTGGCACATAAAACGCACCAAACATTAATTTATTGATGCTGTTTCGACAACGGTTTGTGACTTATAATCCTTTCTATGTATCCACTCAACCAAATATGGACGAGCAGAACCATCATTGCTAGTGTTGCTCTGGTACACATCTATCCACAATGAAATCTCAAGCCATACTCAAGAAAAAGCAACTAACAGCTCCTAAATGGGTTATCAAATAAAGCAGTATTGCGAATTCAAAGCTGTTAGGCACTAAAACAGGCAGCCTTTTCAAATAAATGTCTTCTTATATAAAGATTGCATTGACATAGCATTGCAAAGTATCTCTATTTCAAAGGATCTCTCAAGCCTTTATTGTGACTGAGACATAAAAAGCGATTCCTGCACAGAAGAGAGTTTTGTTCTTCCTTAAGCTGTCAGCTTAGATATATATATATATATATATATATATATATATATATCTATATATATATATATATATATTTAAATCTATCTCAACATAGTTTTCCGTCTTGTGAAACAACTTTTCAATTCAGAATGCCTTAGCTTGATTAAATGCAGAGCAATAAAATGGCCGACTTCGACGTGGCGTTGTCACAAACCGGAAGTTGGCAATCGTAGCCAGCCGATGTGTCGAAAGAAAAAAAGCAAATGAATAAGTAGGTAAATTAAAGCGAACGACATCAAGATCGATTTTTGGTTATTTCTGTTTTTGACTTCATTTGATTGGCTTTGAATGAAAATCGGCGCTGCCAAGAGATCACAGCGCGAGCTCTTTACCTTCGGCAACAGGTTGTGTGTGTGTATGCGTATGGTCTGAAGGATAACCAGTTGACTAGCAACAGTGGCCACAGTCACTAAATTTGCTCATGTCGCTGCTTTGGGTTAACGACACAGAACAGCGGCTTGTTTTCAAGATATGCATGGAAAACTACAAATTACGCATACGCCGCATATGCTGCTGGCTTGGCAACAGCCATAACGCAGCGCGCAGATAAACTATCTTGACGTTTTACGATTACAAAATGAAGGCAGGCGAGCAAAAATAAATCCGAATCTGAATCTCAATCCGAATCCGAAACGCAACTCAAACAAGTCGAAGTTTAAGTCGACCCACAAAATGTTGCATGTGTTTGAAATCAGTTTAAGGTGAATTAGATTTTCACACACACTCACACACAGAAGTCTCACGTATATATAGCCACTGCCTGTGCTTTGCATATGCGCAGAATTATGAAATTAGTCTCGGTCTCCATTCGCTGCCAAATCGAAATGGCATTAAATGAAAACTAGTAGCACAACAACGGCTGGAGCTGCCCGACTACTAAATACCTCGCACCCAAAGACCAGCTATTTTTAAGACGTGTCCTGTTAATAACAAGGTGCCAACCAATGTTAATTAAGTGTCACCAGATCTCATTTTCCCGAATTTGTGATAAGAAAGTCTTATTTTTGAGTTTTTAAATTTATAACTTATACTTTTTTTAAATATGATAATATGGAAAACTATTTATGTCTATTATAATGTGAATGTCAAATATTTAAAGTAAATATTTGATCTATATATATTTCATAATTTTGCAAAAAATATGCCCATGCTTGTGACTTTTCAGTGGGTTCAAGGTGCAACAACTACATGAACTTTAGCGCGCGTTGCGTTTTCGTTTCGTGAATGTTGCGTTTGGCTTGGGATTCACGTTGCCACGACTGGCTCATTCCCTGCATTTGCATTTCAACATTTTTCTATTCTTCACATACATTAAAAATCTCAAATTTGGAATCTTCTTCTGACAACGAAGTACAACTAATTCGGATGCACGGCGAAGAAGGTCAGTGCCGTAATAATAGGCTACGACATGTTTTAATGGACTTAATTGATGTCGATTTCAAATAAAAACATCCGCATTTCAAATATATGCAGCCTTTAAAAGTACAATTTTATTCATTAGTATTTATCTGACTGCATTTGACAGCCTCGCAAATGTGCTTAACAACATTCTTCCTTGACGTTTATCAGATTTATTTCATTCCAACAAAATTCCTTGTCTTATGTCTTTTGCTTAAATACAAAATAAATAAATAAGAAATAAAAAAATAGATAACTCTAGTTGATTCAAAAGCTCAATATAAAACAATATAAATAAACATAGAAAAATATATAAATAAAATTGAATATAAAAAAAATATATATACATATATATATAAATCAGAAAAAAATTATATATATATACATATAGCTATTATAAATAAAATGATTATTATAAAAATATTAGTTTTATAAGTTTTGCTAATACAAAAATTTAAAAATATATCACAATATTTTTATTTTCATAATTGAGCAATTTTAATATATTTCAAAACTGAATTAGTTGGCACTCCAACAAAAATGCTCTGCTGTCATAATATAAAATTATATTATTTATACTTTAGTACCTTTACTTTAAATATGAAATCCCGTATACCATATATACAGAACGACATTGTCATTCCATGCCCATATTGTCGATTAATTTATTTGAACTTGCATAAAACCAAAGCTGAAGATTCTATATATACTGTGTAGAATATAATGAATGCTGTGTATATATAATGAATACGCAGATTGGGAATATTCTGAATTTTGGGTAAAAATAACTAATTTAATACCCAATTGACAGCTTACATTTTTTCTCATTATTTTAATCTGAGTTAAACTAGATATATTAATTATGATTTACGATATACGATATGCGATATACGATATTCGGTATACGATATTCGGTATACGATATACGATATACGATATACGATATACGATATACGATATACGATATACGATATACGATATACGATATACGATATACGATATACGATATACGATATACGATACACGATATACGATATACGACATACGATATACGATATACGATATACGATATACGATATACGATATACGATATATATATACATATATATATACATATATATGATCATAATATATGATCAGAAACTGAACGATTGAATATTAATATGGTGCTATTGTAGTTGGCGACATGAAACTTAAAAATTATTAATGGTGTAAGCCCGCATCAGATAAAAAATCAGAGATTATATGGGTATGCTTAGGTGTCTGCTTTTGGGTAGGGTCGTAACTTGTTTTTTGTCATCGAGAGCTTCAACTTGAAATATGTACTCTCGTTACAAAAGGGCTAATATGTTTTATGTCTCTCATAGTTTAAGCGATACAAGCCGGAAATCGAGCATGGAAACTATTTTACTGAGGTCATTCAATAAAGATCAAAGTCGAATAGCTAAAATTATATTTAATTTTCCTTTAAGCAGCGGAAGTGTTTATCCCTAGAGCTTGATAATATTTCTAGCAGATAGTATTCTGAAACTTATCTGTAATTCGATTCGATCTGTGCTGTGTACAGAGTATCAGACAGTCGGAAAGTCTAACCTTCTGCTGTGTGTATTTAAATTGTCATTTGGGTGTGTTAAAACTATTTCAAGTTGTTAATTGGAAACTCTGTCTGTCTGGATCGTTATAAATCCTGTTCAACGGCTCGACTATATTTAATTATATTATTCAGTTCAAGTCATTTTTCTATCAAAGTGTTCCACTTCTTATATATACATATATCTGTATTATAACTCCAGCTAAGCTCGAGCTTAGCACGGGCTAAAGAGCTAAGTAAATGTTAAGAAAACAACGATTTGCTAAGCTGCTGAAGTAAAACTTCTTGAGAGGGAGAGAGAGAGAAAGAGAAAGAGGACGACTCAGACTTATATTCGACTGTTGTTTATGATTCTTAATTATATGCAGCACATCTTGAAAACCCGTATAGTCCCATGCATACATATGAGTCTATATATAGTTCATAATGTATGCAGACGTCTACAGATTCTTGCTCAAAAGTTGTTTTGCACAGTTAATAACGTTTATTAAAGTTGAAAGGGTTTTGAGCTGCACATGGAATGCGGAATTTGGCTATTCAAATGGGTTGAGTAACTAGTTAGTTGAGGATACTCGCAACAATGCAATCGATAAAGAAAACGCGGCAAACGCAACGGCAGACTAACGTTTATTACCACATGGACGAAGACGAACAAGAGCTAGCTGGGCATTAAGTGTACTACAAATCGTAAGGTGCAATAAAAATGCAAGAGGTGCGCAGTAAGATGGAGATGGAGATGGAGATGGGCAGCAGCTGCAGAGATTGTGTAAGCCTAATCCTGCCTGCAGCCTACACTAACTATCTGACAGACTGTCAGTCGCAGCAAAGTGCGCAGTTGCAGCCGCAAAGCGGAAATTTTGTTGCTTGAGCGGTTAACGGGCCAAAGAGATTCGCGAATGATCCATGCAGCCCCAAAAGTCTTCTGTGCGATTCCACTCAATGCTTCCACTCAAAGCGCAACAGCCAGCGGCGGCGTCCGTTGCTTTTCGGCTTTGGCTCACTTTCGTTTTTCAATTTTTTTGAGTGCAACGTCACAGTCAAGGCGTTAAGCGTCTGACGCCGAAACGCGAGCAGCGACCAGCAGCAGCAGCAGCAGCAGCAGCAGCAACAGCAACAACACCAGCAGCAGCAGCAACAGCTGCTCGCCTCCAAGCGTCTGCTGAGCAGAGCTGAGCAGCGTCAGCTGCTGCTGCTGCTGCCCGCTGCTCGCTGCTGGCGTCGCAGTCACTTGCGGCGGCTCAGCGCTTTGTTCGAGCTTTAGTCGCTAGTGTATGATAAAATCACGTTAGTAATCAATTGCAAGCTCACCAGCCAAGACCGCATAGCCAGCGCCAGTTGCAAAAAGGTCCCAAATATTAATCAAAAACCAAAAAAAAAAAACAATATATATATATCGAAAAAAAAAAGAAAGAAAAAACAAAGTTTGAAATCGTATATAAAGCATAACCAAATTATAGTATTTAAACAACAAAAAGAAAAGCGCTTACGTACTCGCCGCCGTTGCTACCCGTCGCCGTCGCACCAAACGTGAGGATATACTTTACACATACACACACAAGCACACGCATATACATACACTTACACACACACACACACATAACGTCACTTTGAGATAGGTAAAACAAACAAACAACCACACTGCAACTAATGCAAATGCAACAACAACAACAACAACCGCCAAGCCGAAAATAGTTACAACAAGCGCAAATTCCGCAAGTTTCGCCCAACATACATATATATATATACTTATATATGTATATAAACATACATAAAACAAGCCAAATCCGAAGAAGAAACGCTTAAAGTTTATGACGAAATTCATTTAATTAAATTTACTTTTTTTTTTTTTGCATATTTAAATAGTTTTTATTTTATGTTATTTTTTTATTTTTTTGTTTACATTTTTTTTCTGTGCTGTGCATATTTTTATTGAAAACCCGAAACAAAATTTACGCGTGTGTTGAACTGTTTTTTTTTTTGTATTTCTTTTTGTTTTTTTTATTCGGCCTATGCCGTGCCCATACAAATGGATTAAAGGGTATAAGAAGACCTTGCATTACGAACGAACAGACAAGAGCCAGGCGAACACGAAATCAAATGTTTATTCAAGCCACAAAATTGCCTAAAACAACAAATGCTTAGACTTCCAAAGAGATTTGATTAGATGAGCATATAGAGCCAGAAGAGCGAAGAAGTGATTTCAATGGGTATTGCCATATCACGGTGTTTGAATACACAGAGTGATGGAGAGGGAACGAGATATTAAGAGAGAGAGAGAGAGAGTGATAGACTTCCCAATCAAACTAATTGGAAATTTGATTCATTACTGCTATCCTAGCAAAGACCTTGAGCGCAATCAGCAATATCTTTCAGCTTGAAAGACACAGAAACTAGAGTAGATGATAATTTTTTATGTACATCTCAATGCGAATTGGTCCTAGCTCATGGTTGGGCTGTAGCCGAGTCAAGTAGGCAATCAAGTAGAAAAGTATTGAAGCTCAGCTCTGGCTTTCGAAAACTCAAAACTCTAGCCATGGCACGATCGCATCATTATACAAATTGTTTGGTCAATGCGAGGCTGCTGCTGCCGCCGCTTTAATTGCAGAGAGACAACGTTTCGAGGTGTACGTGGACAATGACAGGAAGTAGAGGCTTTGGCATTAATTAGAGGCAACAACAGATCGGCACAGCGGCACTGTAACAAAAGTGTGCAGCGTCACTGTGGGGTCCGTGTCATTCAAGCCACGCCCAGTTGCAAAATCACCTTCAGACTGTGTTGGGCTATGCCCCTTGAAAAGAGGCACAGTTAAGGGGTATCATGTACAAGATGAAGATAGAGCAGTTGCATGATTATGATATTATATCATTGTAGCTAGATACGAGGCATGTCAGCTCACACTCGACGTGCTCATAAATCAGTCGGTAACTACCAGTCGATCATGCTCACTTGGCAACTTTCGGCACTTTGCTGGTATTTATTCAATATATTAATAGACTAAACACTGTGCTCACCTTATAAGCAATACTATGTAGGTCATTTTCGAATATATATTTATATATATTTATATGCACATATGCATTAAGTGGCATTTCAATGCCGACCGACAAACGAAATCAGTTCAGTATACATATTTATTTATTGATGCCAAATTAGCAATAGTAACTGCAATTGTTAGTGTGCCAAAAAAGATAAACGATAACTGCTCGGGGCTCTAGTTGAAAAGTAAAAGCAGATACATTAAAATTTGCTGCCAGATGACATAACCATAGCAGCCAAGACGCCAAGCGGGCTTCGTTGTCGTTTATTGCCGGTTTCTGACAGCTCTCGCAGTTAACACTCCACGCTCTCCCGTCCGGTGTTGACAACCTTCACTCTCCCTTTCTACGCAGCCCAGCTTATTTCGGCTCCCTCTGCCTCTGCCGCCCCCTTCTTTCTCACTCTGTCTCTTTCCAACTTGTTTTGTTTCGTTTTCATTTGGCTTTTGGCGCTACGCCCTACTTAATAGTCGCTGACCGTTGGCCGTCATTGCATGTTGCCACGCACGACCAATAGTCAACTAACATAACTAATAAAAGATGTGCCCAGTACTGCGTTAGCTGTAGACCAGATGAAAGTTACCTGAGCTCGCGAGGATCCGGGTTAGAGTCCCAGGCCAGCACACGGATGTACCCGTAACTCGATATTCTCCCACCCGAAGGTCACTATAAAAAGCAACAAAACAGAAAATGAAAGGGCGTTGACTTAGGCGCGCCAACTAAAGTGTTGAGTCGTCTGGTCTAAGGTCTACCCACCTACCTGTACCCCTCCTCTGCTGAGCTAGTCTACCATTTGCACTGATCTCTCTATGTCTTGGCTAGAATTCCACAATAGCTAAAGTCTCTTGTTGAATTTGCTCTGCCATTTAGATACATGTTATAAAACATAAAACATGGGTCATCATCATTATCCATCTATGTAGCCTATTGCAGCTATCTCCCGCGTAAGATTGCGTTATAGTTATAGGGATATATCCATTATCTTTTCGCCACATTTCGTACACTTTTAATATCTTTATTTCTCTTTCGCCATCGTCTATTCAAAAGTTTAGTTTTTCCATTTTGTTGATTTCCAGCGAATTTCTGTAAACTCAGCTTAAAGCTTACACACACCACTCGCTTAACGCCGTCGGCGTCGCTGTCGACGCCTCTGCCAACGTCTACGCTGTCTAAATAAAATTACATAATTCTTATAGCGGCGTTTTGTGTTGTTATTGTTGCTGCTGCTGCTGTTGCTGTTGCTGTTGTTGTGATTTATAAATTGCTTTAACTGTTGTTGTTGCTTGGCTGTTGCAGTTGTTGTTGTGCACACTTTCCACACATACTGCGCATTACTCATACGACGTGTTGCCCAAGAAAGGTTCAATATTTAAACTTGACACACACTCGAAAGACACGCCTAATCGAGCCACTTAAACGACAGGGCACGTGTTACGGACATGCAAAAGAATTAAAACTTAGCTATTCAATTTGCTTACACCCATTAAACAGCAACAACCACAACAACAACAACAGTCCAGTAACAAGGCATTAGACCTTGCACCGACCCTAAAACGAAAAAGTACCCAAAGTCGAAGCAAATCCAATCGAGACTTGAAGATACTGTGCAAATTGTTGCTTCAACTGATACAGACTCACTCACACACACACACACACACACACACACACACACACACAAGACAGCGATTTCTTTAAGAATGACTTCAGTGCAGTAATCCTAAGCGAGCTTAAGTTTGAGAGTAGTCCAACTGGTCTGTGTTGTTATACTAAACACATACTTATCTTATCCATTGCAGATCCTCCTTTACACTTTGCTTTCAACAACAAAATGTGGCAGCCGAGCACACAGCATTTTCTGGCGCTGATCTTCTGCAGCGCCGTCTGCCTTATCAGCGCAAGTCCTCTTCCACTGCCCGCTGGCAATCAGGAATTAGATGTTCTTCAAATTCCTCTAGCTAATGGAAAGGTAAGTCGAAAACAAACTTCTATATAATATATATATATATAAATAATGAAGACTCAGGAACAGAAGAATGGATTGTGTGGAATAGACAGGCAAAGTCAAAGCTGCTCTAGAGAGAGAGGGAGAGGGATTGAGAGAGAAAGAGATTGTTAAATAGTACGAAATTTGAAGAAAATATTTAATGCAGTACGAACCTAATGACTAAGCGAACATCTTAACCTACTCTTAACAAACTGAAATGCTACTTCATTTAATCAAATATTTAATACTTGATACAAAATGAAGGAGTAGCATCTACTGTTAGTTAAGTGCCAGAGATATTATACTATAATATGAAATAAATAAAGAAATGCATTTAATGAACGGAAAACTGAACCCTAGTTGAGGTGTATAAAATCCTAGCCATATGACTTTTGATCATATAAATGAGCCAGGAAGCTATAAGAGTCAAGTGTTCAGTGTAGCCAAGCTTCCCAACTACTTGAATCACGACTTTATTATTGGCAAAATTGTATTCAGTTATTGAGGATATTTGCTGCAATACTTCCTAGTTGGTTGCCAGAGGAATGACAATGATCTTCAGCGGCCCAATAGTAGCTTTTTCGCTTGCGACTGTGCACGCGCTCACATTACGTATACGTCGTGTGCTCCTGCTGCCCTTTCAAGCAGTTGCTGCGCGGCAGAGCTGCGCAGTCCGATGGGTAGGCGAGTGACTTAATGGAGTCGGTTGTCCAACGAGTTTGTCGAGCTGGCAACAAATTTTCCTTTTACTTTTCGATTGCAGCTGGAACTGTGACTGGAGAAAATTCAGGTCTTGGGGTCTATATGCCACTAAAGCCGAAACCCGCGCAACCAGTTTGCCTGATACCAATTGCAAGGAAGTTGGCACACTTGTTACCAGTTTGCACGGCTGGCTTTAGACCAATGGACCAGACATGTCGCTCCGCCTTGGGTGTTGCCCCAATCCGCATAATCCCCGCTTCAAATGCATTCAATTCCGACTGGCTGCCTGGCTGGCTACGTGTCTGGCTATCTGTCAAAATGTCCATGTCCAATCACAGCATTATTTAATGGCCCCAAAACAATTATGAATTTAGAGTCCATTTCAGACTAATTTTGCTTTCATATTAGACAATTTAATTGCGCTTTCAAAATCTGAAAAAAAAATGACACAGCCCAAATTAACAGCCAGTGGATAATTTTTGCATCCAACGAAGCCAGCTGCAATTTGTCTCATTCATACACTGTGATTAGCACCTAGGTCACAGCTTAATTGTCGATTATGCACAGATTTGCTGGCCAAGACAATTGAGACAATTGACAATCAGCATATCCCAAACCAACCAAACCAAACAGAGTCATATGCCAATTACTGTAGCTTTATTGAGTTCTGTTACCCTGTTTGAGTTGGACACGAGAATGTTTAGTTTTTGGGTTGAGTGAGAAGGATATTCAAAAAGTTGAGGTACTCCTGCCTTGTGTATACCATTCCATATAGCTTAGGACGCACGAACGGATGGACAGATGGACAGATGGACAGTTGAAGAACGGACGAATGGATGGATAGATAGAAGGACGGATGGGTGGACAGAGGGACGAACGGAAAGATTTATGAATGGACGAATGGACGAACGAACGGAAGTACGGATGGAAAGGTGGATAGATGTATGGAATAACGGACAAAAGGAGGGGCGGGAGGTTGTACAGACCAAAGAACAACTGTTCGACTGTATATTAAGAGATACAAGGCGCAGGTAACTCTGCCGTTGATCCTGATCAAGAAAATTCGCAATTTGTGGACTTGGACACACCTCTTTGTGCGCATCACACATAAGCCTTACACTGTACTTAACTATTATCCTAGGTACAAAAGCTGTGTAGGCAGATGTACTCAGCTGCGCAATACTCTGCTAACACTGCCAGAACAATTCAATTTAACACAAGCAAACTTATTGCCTTACATGCTGAGGACAGACTATATCCTAGTCAAAAGTGATTAGTACAGTAACTTCTCACTTGCTGGCTCATACTATCTTAAGACCCAAACAGATCAACAAATGAAGATTCTCGATTCTCGACCTTATAGAATCCTTCGCGAAGACTTACATTCTATATTCTAGTGACACTTCCCGTTCAGGGTATTCATTAGCATTTGCAGTTGCTTTTAATTTTTTTAGCTATATAATGATATAACTTAGGCAAAGGCAATGGAAGCGCAGCGACTTTCATATGGAAACAGCAGAACCAGCTGAAGCAGCAGCTGCAGCAACGCGGCAGCTCAGACAATCCAACAATTTCCTCTGTGGGATTGCCCCCCAGTGACACACACAGCCAAGTCAGTTGCCACAGCTGCCTTATATAATCTTTCAGCTAGCTGCTCGTCGAGCAACAAGCACACATCACGCATACGACGCGTTGTACGCGACGCGACGCGACGGTAACCACGGCAATTGCAGTTTGTTGTTACCATTAAAACATGTTGGTAGTACGCAGTAGCAGCAACTAGCACGCAGCTATTATACTATATTGTTGTTGTTATGGTTGCTGTTGCCGTTGCTGCTGATGCTGCTATTGTTATGGTAGACAATTTGTTACTAGCTGCATTTTCAAGTGGCAAACGAGACGCGCTTGCCAGTCAGTCATTAAGTCGCAGCCGCTTGCGGTTGCCGTTGACGACAAACAGCGAATCAGAGTGTTCCAGTCGGTTGCAACCGACTGCGAAATACTCGTTTACAACATTCTAAGGAAATGGCAATTGATATTAGATGTGGATGATGCTAAATCGTTTGACAATTTGATCAATACCAGAGACTAAATATGTAATGGATTTTCTTTAACTTAATGCACTGAGTGCGCAGAGTTTGGCATATACAAACTCTTTATTAGACACCCAATATACCCTCTCTACTCTTTGAGCTGGTAAATGCAACAAAATATAGCTCTCAAGTCTGCTATAGCTCAGCCGGCTCTGGTTTACTATATGAACAATTTATTATTAATATATTCTCTGGGTTCGAAAATTTGCGGCATGATTATAAAATCTGTATTTGATTAGTTCAACTCAACAATGTCTTTTGCTGCATAATAAGTACATTTGTAAGACTAAAGTCAGGCGTGTCCAACTAGGAGATACCCTGCACTTAGCCTGATTTCACAACGAACATCCAATAAACACAAAAGTTAGTCAAGCATGAGCTTTCCGTAGTGTCGGACTCAAGTGTAGAAAAACCAGCTAAACATTCTTGCGTGTGTGTGTGTGTGTGTGTGTATTTTGTTATAGATACTCAGCTACATATATGGAGTAGGTATGTAAGTTCGAATGTGTTTTCAGATTTGGACTTAATACAAATATATTTTTGGTTAAAGTGGGCGAAGCGTTCGGTTAAACATTTTTCTCTTTGGGCTTATTTATCAGCTGTTTCCAAGTATTTATGAAACTGTTTGCCTTGAATAAGTAGATCGACTTATGGGGAACACGCTTACCCAAAACATTTGTATGTAAATTTATGTGTAATCTGATTTATGTCAAATGGCTTTTTATTAACACACAAAATGCAGTTTTTTTTTTCAAATATCTGTAAGATCTGAGATCTATGTGAAAATTAGCTTGAAATGTGACTGCAAGTTGAAACTTTGCCGAGCAAAGGTTGGAAATTCATGTTTAACTCAGGAAATGTTGTCTTCTTTTTAAAAGATTTTTGAAGGCGACTTCAATTTCAGTTGCAAAATATTGCTTAAAATATGAAGATGAAGTCGACAACTGCATGAATATATCTAAATTTGTTAAGTATACTAATTTTTAGTAATAGAGAGAGAGTCAGCTAAGGTTGTGTCAACAGCCAGACTACTAAGTGGTCAGCTTGTAGGCTCGCCTGTTACTACGCATATCAAGTTTGTTTCAAACTTTGTACCCGAGCGTTCTGCCACAGGCAGACTGCTCATATTCCACATAATGTGTGCGTCCTTCACATTTCAACTGTGCCATTATGCCGCAGCATGGGGCACTCGCAATGCGTTCCGAGCTCGATAATATTGTTGCTGCGTGATTTTAAAGTACTCCAAGCGAGTTAGTAATTGGACTTGGGCAATGTCTGATCAGCTCAGCTCAGCTCGCCATTATGCACCTCTAAGCGTTAACATGAGCATTTATGTATTATTTATAAAGGCAGTTAAGTTTATACACTCACGTATTGTGTAATGCAGGTCGATCCTTTAAATATTTAGCAGTTATTGCTTTTATATTAGTTTCTAGGCTAAGTCTGTCTATAAGCGCTAATTGAATCGGTTAGCTGATCATTTAAGCTGTCAGAAAAGCTTTTATAATATTTAGGCTAATGGCCACACACTAATTTGGTGAACTTGAGACTGCGAAGGCTCTCTGCTAATAGCCAGCTCAGCTGCCTTTGTTACCTGAGCTGAGGCAGTGTGCTCGAAAATTCCACCTGCAAGTGGGGAAACTAGGTGGAGCCTGGTCTGTGCCTCGTTTCTTTTCCGCTTCCAGTTGCTACACTGACAATTTACTACAGTTACAGTTTTTGATTCACGCTACAGTTTTAGAGCCACTTCCACCTTGCTTATAATTGAGTATGTGCTTCCCAAGATATCTTGACTATATCTCACATCTACTTTAGAGACAATATTTTTGCCTGCCTTGCAGAGTATCCAATATTCGTTGTGACAAAGTTTTCTTACTATTTATTTTTTATTTTTTATTTTTTGTATTATTTTCTGTTTCTCTCGTGCATTAACATATATTAAGTTGGTTAAGGTCAAACAACTTATCCGAACAGACACAGATTAATGTGTATCTTGAATTTTATGTTAATGCGTGGCTGAAGTTCATTAATGAAGTATGTTTTGTCAAATTCATTTATTTGTTCAGTCCAATAAAATGCGATGGTATCGAGGTGGCAAAGCTGAAATAATAAAATTGTCATCCAAACCAAGACATCACAATGGGTTAGTCTTTGGCCCTCATTTCTCACTCATTCATGAATTGGTAGTAATACTTGTCTTCAGTTCGCATTTCATCCATTCAGCTTAACTATACTTTCGGAATGCCGAGCCAGCTTAAGCGGAGTCCTCTTCAGTTGGCATCGGTTACCTTCAGGCCTAAGCCCCAACTAACTTTCAAACTGTTTCGCTATGAACTATTGATTTTTGCAAATTGTTTGGGTGAGGGTGGCGTAACCGCAAACAAAATATGGGGGCCCTTGGTCCGAAACTTTGAAAATATATCGCTTTTTGCGGTTTCCCAGCTAATTTACGTGGGCTTGCAATTTTAGCACTTTGTCTGATGCGATTATATCCAAATATATGTGCGCAATCACATATGTACATACATCTGTATATATTTTTAATTTACAGTCTCGAGCTTTAAAGGCCCTTGAAATAGCTCTGTTCGAACAAACAGTCGGACGAAAACATATAATAAATATAATTTTTAATACTACTAAAACAAGTAGTGATTAGAAAAATAATAATAATAATAATACTAAAAATAATAATTAGATGAGCAATAATAATTTTAAAAAATTATTTTAATAGAAATATTTATGGTTTTTTAAATTTATAAAAAATATGTTAATGTTAATTATAATAATTTTAATGGTTATATACAATAATAATATTAAGAGAAGTGAGTTAAAAGCTGGTTTAATATAAATATTTTAATTACTATAAATTATCATAGTTAATAAAAGTATTTTTTATTATTATTATAGATATTTAAAAAAATAATAAAAATATTTTTATTATTATAGATACTTATATACTATTATATATTAATAAAAACATTTTTATTATTATAAAAATGCTTAATAAAATCATTTTTAATCCTATATTATTATTGTGCTGATTCATAATTGATTTTAAAATAATGAAAATATTATCATTAAAATTATAAAATAAATTAAAAAATTAATATTAAAGGCAATATAAATTATATATCGGTCAGTTCGTCACTCTGACAGGTGTGTCGCAGGCAGCATTTGCCGCTTGCTGGCTAAACAGCCTCATTTTTGTTGCCATTCCTAGCCCCTTGGCACCTGTGCTGTTTCTCTTCTATAGTTTCCACTCTGACTGTACTGACAAGTTTCTTCATTAATAGTACAGTTAATGGTGATAACTCTTCAAGTGCTTGTTGGGTCTAGACTAAAATGTAAAAATGTTATTTTCTATTTAACTTTAATATTTAGCTAAAGTTTCCTAAAGCATAATTTGTATATATAATTTTACTATCGTAAACTTCTCTTATTTAAACATATTTCTGGTTGTCAACCACTGTGCATTAAAAATAATATTTTTTCCGATTACCTTATTGACAAGCCTCTTCCGTCCTTAGTATTAATTAGTATCCAGTTTAGGTACACAGCAGCTATGACTGGGGCTGCTATTTAAAATGCACAGTGTTTGCTTTGATGACGTCGCCTAGAATATATATATATATATATGTATACGTGTGTGTGTGAGTACTACTAAGTCTTAATTGTATTCGAGTGAGTTCGGCCAATTTGAAATTCATTAAGACTAGTAATAAAAATCAAACAACTTTGGCCCAAGAGTTGTTCCTCTGCTCGTTAAAACTTAACAATTGTCGCACTAAGTTGACAAACTGCTTAAATATGATAGATCATTAAGGGCAGTGGCAGGGGCATAGAGTGGGGCTGGGGTTGCGGATGGTTAGGTGACGGTGCACAATAGAGAGCGGCCGGCAGCTCGGAGATGACAATAGCAAAACAGTTTGCTGCCCAAACTGAGAAAAGTTAGTTTTTCTTTATAGCTGCGGTCGCTGCCGCTGGCATTAGCTTCCGTCGGTGTATAAAGGCAACTTCCGCGCTGACTTTTGAGACAATTAAACACATAACAATAACAACAATAACAACAGCTGAGGTAACTCTCAGATTAACGTTGCTCTAAGCAGCCGGCAGCCGGCAGCCGACTCCACCTGGGAATAGTATTGATAGTGGCGAAACAATGGACTCACATTAAAGTGATTTCGCTATTTAAAACTACTGCGACTTTATGCAGTATTTCACAGAAATCAACAACAAATGCATATTCAATGATACCCTACAGCCGAGCATTCAAGGCATGCTCGCTGCACAAGCTCGAAGCGAGTGTATTAGCTTTCTAAAATGTACGCTGTGCTCGTCTAACACTTGTGTCTATAGACCATAAGGAAATCAATTTTCAAGCTAACTCTATGATATTATGATTCCAATTAATAATCCAGAATATAAATATCATAGTTTTTAAGCCTACTTCAGTTGAGCTAACAACTTTTCTGAAGCACAGCCTACCTCGCTCTCTCTCTCTCTCTCTATCTGTCTCTTTCTCTCTCTCGCTCTCTCTTTACTTATGCCTCTCCTTTGGCAGCTTCCATTTGCTGCATCTTTATGCTAATATTATTGTTATTGATCTAATTTGAGAGTCACATTAGCACTCAGCATACCTCAATTGAGTCTCGATTACAAATCTTATGGCTTGCCTTTAGATAAGTAAACTCTGCTTACTATATAATTACAGTTATAATAAATTTTGAATGCAGCTAGTATTTAAAGTGATCGAAGTCAATATTAATAATATTTGAATTTATCCATATCGATATCAATGAGCAAATCAACTTGAAATTTGAAAAAAAAAAATAAAGCAATATTTATTTATATGTTATATATAAGTATAAATACATATATATATAAATTATATATAACTTTATATAACAGTTTATGTAACCAGTTTTTTTTTTATAATAATTGGGGTAAAAGCCATGAGAAATATAACGGCATTTGCTCTGGGAAAGATTTATGTAGTTTTTCGCAATTTCCTGGATTTATTGTTCGGCATAGCCAAAAAAAATTAGTTGAGCCAGTAGCAAGTCCAAGTTAAATATATTAACGATAAAAACGGTTAATATTTAGACGAGCCTCAACTAATATGCTCTTCATGCACTTGCTGCCCGAAAACAAATGGCAAAAAAAAGAATAAAATTCAAGTTGAATTGGTACCTGCATATTAGATTGCTGCTGCTGCTGCTGCTGCTGGCTGGCAAATGCAAAAACAATTGTTATAATAGGTAAATGCAATTATCGTTGCAGCTATTGCATGTCCAATGACTCGTGCTGTTGATTGTCCAAGTCATCTCGTACGGCTGCCGTGCAAATTGAATGCACTTAAAATATTTTTGTGCAATATTTTCTTGGACTTAGCTTCGTCGCAATTGTCATTAACGTTTACAACTTTTTGTACCAGTCATTTACCCGGGATCCCTCTCTCTCTCTCTCTCTATCACTCTCGCTCTCTCTCTACTTGTGTGTACCTTTAAGTAGAAACTGTGCAAGTTATAAACAACTTTTTGTTGTCCAGTGGCCAAAGTGACTACAGACTATCGAGCGGGCGCCCTAACTGGGACACTGAAGAGCGCTGACTGAGTGGAGATTAAGGCCGAGTTCGTCTGTTGAACAAAAGAGGAAACACAACTTGGCGGCTTACCGAAAGCTCACCAAAAACTAAACACTTTTGGGATCTCTTTCGAATACTCTGAAGCCATTGAGAGTAGTTGAAAAGGGATATAATTATGAAATCCATGAAACAGGCAGAGGCACGTCTGGGTTCAGGCTTAAAAGTTTACTCTCAAATCAAACAACTTCTCGAAGACTATAAACTAAAGGCTGCAAAGAATAAAATCTAATTTATAATTACCTTTCACTTTTATTAATGGGTGACCCAATAAGAGCAGTACGAAAACAGATGCATATCAAACTGAGGGAGTATTAGATATAGCATAGTTTATTGCTTCTGCTTAAAGCTATATGGCTGCCATTAAGTTTTAAAGATCATAAAGATTATTGCCGTCTTGAGTCTGCTGGCTATGCGTTCAGGTAAAGTGGTAAAGTGCGATTGGGCTGGAGCTCATCCTAAGTAGTGGGCTTGAGGACTTGTGGCTTGCCTATAAGCAAATGGAAAATCTTATTGAAAAAATCAATGTCTGCATGTATCGAAATATAGTTAAAGAAAATGGGTTCACTCTCGTCTAGCTATAGGCTATAATCAGAGCTTCACAAGCTGGCAGTATTGCCAAATTGGGGTCATTTGAATGCGCGTCAATCAGAGCTGCAATGAGAGCGTACTACAAACAATAAATATAGACAGCAGACGTAAACATATAAATGGTAAGGCTCTAAACAGATTTGCAAAGCTTTGGCTTTGGCTTTGGCTTTGTGCTCAAAATTATTGCAGTTTTGAGGTTTGATTTTGAAGTGTGCGTGGACTTGAGACGTGATTTCAACTAGCAGCCAGCCACAAAAAGACGCGACGAGACCACCGACTCATTGCCTCACTGTACAAAGTGAAAGTTCGTCAATTGTTGTCTGTGCTGTCTCTGTTGTCTCCGTTGTCTCTGTTGTCTATGTTGTTGTTGCTGCTGTTGCTTGTGGGCAGCAATCTCTGCGTTTTGCTGGCTCATTTTCTGTTCAGTTTGGGGCCACGATTTGTCTGTGTGTGTTTGTATTTTAGTGGCACTTGGCTTACGTAACGTGCAATACATTTAATTGAGTTTGTGTCTGTATTTTTGCCTTGCAGGAAATCGATGTCTTGACACTTGGCGCCAAAGATCAAGATCAGTTGATAGCCGATCGGAACAAGAGAACCATTGGACTGCTGCGCGAGCTGTTCCCCGACATAACAAAGGTGCGTATGATAATGGAGAATAACGAGTATGTCCCAGAGAAATCCCCCCAAAGCCCCCATGTGTATATCGATCAGGTTAGGTCTATATCGATTTAGATATTCACATATGTAGCTACGTAGATCTTAGCCGAAACGAACGCTGTTTAGCTATGCGGAGCGGTGTTCGGCTCTGTCATTGTTAATTGTTGTGTTGCCCGAACATTTCCTAGGAAATCAATACGCAAATCAATCGTCTAGTCAATAATATCTTGCAACGCGTCGGACCCGTCGTCTTGGGCACAATTCTCAATCCCGAATTAACCCAAACTGCTGCCCGCAAGCCCACTGCTGATGCTGATGCTGATACCGACGAACGTGACGTGGGGCAGCCGCTCGATAAGGATTACGAGAATCTACCCGATGAGCTCACCAACTTCGAGCCCGATAAGGACTTTGACAGCCAACCGAAGGACACTCGCAGCCCGTAGATTGCGTAGCTCTAGCTTCTATTATTGGCTTTCAATTGATCTATAAATCACCTATCAACTAGTTGATTATCTCATTTGTTCAAGCCGCATGCCCTCCCTATAAACTATACTCGTATCCGTATCTTTAACTAGACCTATGCCACTTCACTTGTCAGTAGTTTGTGCACGTATTCAATACCCTAAACTAGACCACCTATGCCTATGCCTCTACCTATGTCAACGCCTATGCATGCCACCTATAAAAAAAGCTTGACCAACTTTAACAAATACACGAAACCAAAACCAAAAAACCAAAACACCAAAATCCAAAGCCCAAGCCAAACAGTAATTTAGAGCACATTGAATTCAACTACACATGCATCAGACAATTGGCCAATCATCGAGTTGCAGTGCACAAATTTTTTAAAGCGCCTCAGACAATCAACCACAAACAGAAATAACCGCAACAGGCACCAAAAAAAAAGAAAAATAAATAAAAGAAAAACCAAAAATAAAAATAAAATAGAAGACCAAAATCGAAACAAAATTGTATCATCTCAGCAGCAATTCATGGACGCCAACAGCGGCTAAAGCACAAAAATAAAACATAAACAACAAATGAACAACAACAACAACAACAACAAGAACAAGAACAAACAATTATCATCTGAATTCATGGCAATTGAAGGCAGTTAAGCCTGTGACAGTTTTTTGCATACCTCTCTGTCTCTCATTCCTAGGAAATCGACTCGATTGTTAATCGCATTATAGCTCAAGTAATACGCGTAGCCGGACCAGGTCTGCTCAATAGCATTCTGGCCGGAAATCGCGGCCCGGGTGGCAGCACCACACCCTCCAGCAGCTTCGACGCAGATTTCGACGACGATAGCTTTGGCGACGATGATGATGATGATGCATCTGCATCGGCATCGGCATCGACTTCGGCATCGGCATCGGCATCCGCATCAACGCCGCCCGCCTCAGACGACATCGGCTCACGGATCAAAATTGATTTGCCCACAGTTGCGCCAACGACAGCAGCAAACAAAGTGAGTGCGCGTAAGAGGCAAGACAATGTAACAGCATCAACAGCATCATCATCATCAATATCAACAAGTACTAGCACCACCTCCACTACTACCACCACCACCACAAGCACCACCACCACCAGTCCCAGTCCTAGCCTTAGCCCCAGCCCCAGCTCCAGCCCAGCCAACAAGACATTAACAATTGGAACTGAGATGCCCGCCGGGCTGCTGTCACGCGTTCTGGGCATTGAGCCAATAAGCACAACAGCAGCAACAACAACAACAACAACAACAACAGCAGCAGCAGCACCAGCAACAACAGCAGCAACTGTTGCAACTGAAATGCCAGCAACAGATGCAGCGGCGGCCACTGTTAACTCCCAATTAGCACCTACCTCCGACATCATTACCTCCACCCAGTTTCCCACAAACAATGACAACAACAACAACAACAACAACAGCAACTACAACAATAATAATATCATCGATGAACCACAATTGCTTACAATTATATCCGATATAAATCGTTTATTAAACTCTACCAATTATTTTATTACAACCAGAGATAATTTAACAACATCTCCAACAACAACAACAACAGTGGCGCCAACAATTGACAACAACAACAACAACAACAACATTACGAAACTATTGCCCATCTATGAATAACAGCAAATCGAGACACAAAACACACACAACACTCGACAAATTAGCAACAACAACAACAACAACAAGAACAACAGGGCTTTAGGCCACATTGAACATTCGCTGTCCCATGCAATAGCCCCAGAATTGGAACTCATTCAAGATATTTACGCCGCAGCAACAGCAGCAGCAGCAGCAGCAGCCGCTTTTACAAGTAGTTTGCTCGAAAACTCACTCTGTTAATTGTATTTTTATTGTTTCTCTAATAAGCTAAGCTACTGGTGAAAGCAATTTAGTTGTCAACTAACTAATCATCAATATTAACATTAGCTCTAAGCCAAGCGAGCAAAAAGCAAGCATTTAGCCACATCATTTGTCAATAAGCCCTTTGATCGAAGGCAGTTGCCGAGCACCCTTTGAAGCCGTCTCTCAAGTGTTTTGTCTACTCTGCATCCCTGTATCTCTGTATGTATGTATGTGTGTGTGTTTGCGTGTATTTAGATGCACAATGTGTGTGTGGCAATTCGCTTTGTATAGTTCTTAGTCGAACAGCCAAGAACCGAGTCAAATAAACTAACCGTTCTCTAAAATGTACCCACCAATTGCACACACGCACCGCAATCCCGAACCACAACAACACACAACAACCCACAACATTGCACACCGCAAACCGCGCCCGAATCCAAATCCAAATTTGAATCCGAATCGGCATCCGAATCCGGCCCTAAATTGAAACCTGGTTGTTGTAGCAAATCGATGAGCAAGCGAACCGCATCATCTCCAAGCTGCTGCGCACCCTGGGCCCCACCGTGCTGCGCACGGCCATCCAGGGCAACAGCGCGAATGCCGCACGGCAAGACTTTGATGCGGACTTCACTGACGACGACGACGAGAGCAGCAAGAGCGACAGCTCCTCTTCAGGCTCCAGCAGCAGCAGCAGCAGCAGCGCAAGTGGCACTCGGGTCACCATCGAGCTGCCCACCTTTGAGCCGGACAATGACAACGAGATTGATGCCGATGAGAAGAGCAGCAGCAGCAGCTCCAGCACCACCATCACCATTGCCAGCACCACCGAAAGCGGCAAGCGACGATAATGAAATGTGCGTGTAATTTGCTACAACAACTAAGCGATGCATTCCAAAATTTCCATATAAATTGGCATAACTTTTAATGATTATCAAATTTTGTTCCGTGTTTTCAAAACAGCAGCGAAAATTGGCAAAAAAAACCACAGCAACAGCAACTGCAACAACAACCAACACCAACACCACCACCACCACCACCACCACAACCACAATAAACACTCCACTAAAAGCAACACAAAAAATTTAATTTGGCAAAATAGGAATCTAAATTTTAATGAAAATTATGTGAAATATTTTATTGAAGCGGGCATTCTTTGTGCACTTCAAAATCTTATGTTAAACCACTTTATTTACTAATATATGCCAAGCTCTCTTCAACTCTCCTCTATCTCTCTCTGTCTCTCATTTACTCTAAATCTCTTTTTCCTTTGAGACTCTATAAGTAAATTAAGTTTCTTTTTACGTATCTCTCTATACTCTTAGCATTTCAATTATTGTACATAAATCTCTTTCTTTATACATCTCTCCCTCTCTCTCTTTCTATGTATATATCCTTCTCTATCCATCTCTAACTATATATCTTTTTATATTCATATAAATCTCTTCTTCTATTACTCTTTCTCTTTCTTACTCTCTCTCTCTCTTACTGTCTTAATCTGTCTCTTACATTCTCTCCTTCTTCTCTCTCTCTCTCTCCCTCTCTCTTCTTATGTATATATATCTCTATTCAAATTTATCATATCTATTGAACTTTTTATATTCAATTAACTCTCTCTCTATATATATTACTCTATCTCTGACTCTCTTCCTCTCTCAATCTTCTTCACTCTCTTTTCCTCTCTCCCTCTCTCACTCTCTTACCCTCTCATTCTATCTCCTTCTTTCTTTTTTGAGCTTCTCCTTCAAGTTTTGAGCGTTCAACGCAGTTTTTTTTATTTAAATTTAATAGGTGATTTTTTTCTATTAACATTTAATTTGTATTAGTTGTTAAAGTCGTTGTACGTATGTCCTATATATCTATATAAATATATACATATATATATATCATTGTGTATATATCTGTGTATTTAAAATATACAAAAATAATTGTACTCGTTTGGCTTTTTGTTAAGCTTAAGTCTTAGTGTATATAAGAGCGTATTGAAACAACAATCGAACAACATTCATAACTGCACTGGAAACATTCATGATTGGGCTTACAATATTCACAGCTGCATTCACGATCTTCACGAACATTCCCTGATGCTTATCGCTACACGATTGGTAATCGACTCTAAGCAGACCGATCCACATTAGACCTCATTAGCTCGCATTCTCGACATCATCTAGGCTAATTTCGAGGCATCAGTCGATGCCAGTTGACCGGTTCTATCAAGTCACATAACATTTGAGCCCGAAACTCGTTGCAGTATTAGCCGGAGAAAGATCTTTACTTGCGACCACTTCATTCAAACTAAGTTTTCCAATGAATTTTGAGTACTATACGGATATAGTATTAGACAAAGTTGAGATTGAGAAAATGATCTCATCTCTCTCGAAATTGTCAATCAGATTTTAGAAGTTAAAACTTTCCACTTTCAAATCAGCACTCTCTCACTCTTTCTCTCTCTCTCTCTCCCTCTCTCTGTCGCCTTTCCACTCTATCTCTCTCGCTCTCGCTCGGATATCCATGGGCTAAGCTTAGAAATTTTGGGTATTCTGCTGCAGCACTTGCGCTCTTCCGCCTGTGCTCTCTGTGGCTTTATTGATTGCTCATTTGTCTATCTGCCTTTGTTTTCTTTTTTGTTTATTTTGAATCTTTTTTTCTTTATTTTCATGTTCCATTAAACCGATTCGATTTGTGCAAATAACCAAACAAAAAAAAACAAATAATAATAATAATAATAATATAAAACAAAAATGCAAAATGTTATAAAACAAAAAACACAAACAAACCAAATCGAACAACTCTTTCGCAATGAAATCACCAACTGCAATTGTAATCAATCGAAACAATAACGTTATAAATCGAAAATATTGTAAAATGTATACATAAATACACCAATTGCATTTGTGCACGTGCATTCTCTCATCAACAATTAATCAAATCGAATTCGAATTCGAATGGCAAATCGGATCCACAAAACAAATACGAAAACTGGCTAAAACCCAAAACTCATAATGCCAAAACGAAATGTGTGCAACAATCCCTTCAATAACATTCAACTCCCGCCTAACCTTATATAACTGATGAACTAACTAACACACACACACACACACACACACACACACACAAACACACACACACATACACACCTTGACCGACCGATGTCCGATGTGCCTGTGCCACCTACGCAATACTGAAAACTCTGAACTCATGCTACTTCACACACCCACACCCACACACATAACGGAACATTGCGCCAAATCCTGTGTTATGCAAACCAATCAATACACCGCAAAACCGCACACACACACACACACTTACACACACGCCAAATCGTAATGTCTCACACACACACACCCACACACACATACCAAATGCACATAATCAACTCCAAATTCGAAATTCTTTGCAATGCAACAAATGCCCATACAAATGAAATTCCGTTGCAATTCTGCGGGCCACCCTGTTGCGATCGCAGAGCGGCGCCACCGATACCAAAATCGATCTATCGGCGATCAATAAGCAACTCGAGGAGACCATTAGAGTGGCGCGTCAGGTGAAAGAGGCCGAGGCAGCGGCCGCTGCCGCCGCCCAATCGTCTGGCTCGCCCATCGCCCAGGCGCCCATTCCCCTCAAGTCCAACGAACCCATCCAGCTGAGCTTCAACAATGAACTCTCCTCGGTCAGCGCCGGCAGCAGCGGCACCAGCAGCGGCAGCATTGGAGCCACCGATGTCAAAGCTCTCAGCACCAACGATCTGCAGCTGTCCGAGTCCAAGTCCCCCGCCATCGACGAGCTGTCCCTGGACTCCGTGGAGGACACGGCCGATTTGGATGATCGCAACAAGAGGTAAGCGGCAGACCACGCCCCATTCGCCCACATACCACTACCAACTACCTGCCACAACAGCCACCTATCACAATTGGCCGCTTAGACACTGCATCCCATTGTCGATCCAATCCAACATGCACTAGATTCAAATTCAGATTCAACTGCAAACGTCATGTCATGCTAGTTAAATAAGTAGAGTATTCCATATATTCCATGGAGTATTTCTACCTGACTTTACAATACTATATATATATTATATATATCTATATAATCTTATATCAAAGGCGTTTTAAGGCTAATCCTCGGATTCGAAGCTGCTGTAGCCATCCCTCTTAACTCTCTAACCCCAGGAGAAACTTTTGGCGGTATCAGCATAAATTTCGCTAAGAACTACAAATATTTTTTAGCGGACTTTGCGCTGAATTCACATGCCAAACTGCGAAGGATACAGTTTTAGCCGATTTGTCAATAGGCGTAAACATATATATACTATATCTTTTTGATCTAGAGCTCTCAGCGCGAATAAATGCTCCAAATTTCAAGTCTCTAGCACTTTAACTAAAAGTTTCCCAGCTCAATTAATACCCGATTTATCAAGCGTATCGGAAAAATCTTTGCACTTTATCAGACGAGGATCCTCTTATATATAATGAATTCAAATCTAGCTTTAATATGGATATATATTGCATTCATATGGATATACGGACGGAAGGGCGAACGGATGGACTTACAGACGGCAGGACAAACGGACAGACGGACGACCACTACTCAAAACCAATATACTCAGCACTACGTGAATGAGCATTAAAATCAAGTTTTTTGAGGTCTCATATATTTTTTGGCTATGCAAATCGAAGACTACGCAATTCGCAGCTCTAAAACGCAGCTGATAAGTTGCTGAGCAAAGATGAAAGAAGCTGAAGTTCTTGCCTTAAGATGTTAAAAATATGTTGAGAAACTTAAATTCTGTGTTCATTGACTGCCTATTGGTTATATATGGTACTAGTTCGCCAAGCATCTATAGCATATATCATAGAATATCGTGACTATAAACCAATATATCCTTAGGCAGTAGAAGGCTCTCAAAACTGATCAAGATCTATGTTTATAAGACACACTCAGCTAAAGGCATAGAAATAACTTAAGTTTGTACAGACTTATATGGATATATATTTATAGAAATATATAGATTTATATAGAAATATTAGGGATCAGAAAGCATGTTGGATTCGTTGACAGTGGCATTAACCAATCGATAAAATAGCTGAAAATTATACCCAAGATACTCGACTAATCGCACACAATTTCCTCCACGTTTACTTCAATTTTTCCGAATTGCAATCGACAAACATAAGTAATATATTCAAAAGGTTCCTGAGCTTCGGTGGTGCCGGCCTGGCTGGCGGCTCTAGCGGCGGCGCAGCGGGCGCCTCGCCCAGTGGCAACAGCCTGGGCGGTGGCGGCGGTGGTTCCGGTAACTTTTTGCTGGACGTGGTGCGCGTAAGTAGAAACCGTCAAGCGCATGTCACTGGCAGCTGAATGACGCCCTTTCCGACCTTTTCGCTCAGCTCTTCTCGGGCAGCGTGCAGACCCAGCAAGGCGACGAGGCTGCCAACTCGGTCAGCGGAGGCGCCAGCAGCAGCAGCAGCACGGATGACACGGATGCTGGCAGCGACAGCACGCGCAACGCCGACGGCTACACCGAGGGCATTCCCGGCCCAGTGACGCGTCTCGTTGTCCTGGCCAATCGAGGTCTGGCTAACCTGGTGCAAGACTTGATACTGGTAAGAAACGCCGTCTCAATCCTTTGTTCGATCGATAACATTTGTGCTTGAACGTCTCTTGCAGCGCGTGGCCGCCACAAGCGAGAAGTTTGTGAACTTCAAGGCCAAATTGATAACGGCACTGATATAAGCCAGCTTGTCGATCCTTGGCCAACTCCTCACGGCCCTGCCTTAGTCAAGTCAACCCAATTGTACAGAGTCAACGCAGCCAACTGCACGCCCACATTTCAACACCAACCCCAACACCAACACACGCCCACGCACAACACCACTCGATACTCGTCCACTCGTCCATCACATTAACGTTGTTGTGTTCTTTTCTTTGACAATGGAAGCTCATCTACAATCTTTAGCGAAATTTCTATTTCTTATATAAATACATATATACATATATATATACACACGCATACTATATAACTCAAGCTCTAAGTAGAGAAGAAATGTTTATCAAAATTTCCAATACAAAAAGTGAAAAAAGAAAACTTTTTATTTATTTTTTTTTTATACGAAAATCGAAGAGGAAGATAAACACACGCCCACGCACACACACTTAAATACGATACGATCCTGCTTTCCTTTTTTCTAGAACTTTTGCTCTCGCTTCACTTTTGTAAATATTTTGCTATCTTAACTTAGTTTAAACGTTCGCGATTTTCCCCAAGGATTTGCCTCAACATATATATTTTTTCGATTACTAAAACAAAATCATGACTGTGGTGTTTTATTTACTATTATTTTTAAAAAATATAATTTTATATAGTCGATGTAAAGAAAAAACTACAAATTTCCATCCCACATAATATTTTTTTTTTATTTTTTTTCGCTTTACCTTTTTATGAATTAATTGAAAACGAAAACTCGAAACGCAAATTAGTGAAACTTTCTCAATTCGTTGACTACCTAATCAGGATATGTTTATACGGATTCAAGAGCACGAAGAGGAAGAAGAGAAAACTATTTTTAAAAGCAAACTGTTTTAAACTTATTTACCGTTTTTATTTACACGTAAGCAAATGTGTTTCTATGATTTTTAACAGTTTAAGTAAAATTTTACATGTATATAAAATAAAAAAGTTTACTTAAAATACACGCACAATGGCGGATCTTCAAATGGGAGGGGGCGAAAGACAGCAAATAGATCGTAAAGCTCCTCATCTATTGCTTATTGTTGACCTAGTCGGGAAGCTAACTTTTATAATAATAAATGCTTTCATTTGTCACACTCTGAGCTCATGGAAAGTCGCCTAACCGATCCCATAAGGCATATCAGGATCATATCGATTCAAGCTGTCGGAATTTAAGATTGGCAATTCCTTTGCTATGGATATCTGATCTCATTTGCTAAAGATCGATAAATATCGATAGTATAACATGGCTTTCATAGCTCAACTGTCCCTGAGCATACATCAATTATATATTACCGACTTTGCTTAACTCTCTATAATTCATTTCTAATTGTTGAGTCCCGTTTGGATGTCATTTTTATAACCTGCTGATTTTATTACGATCAAGCCGACAGAACTGAAGTTATGCAATCATATATTCACCACAGGTAGAACACGTAAATAAATATAAATATGTCAAAAAAGCCAGTTAGAGTCTTAGCAGCGTTTCTGTGGAGGCTTCAGGGTAGCTGCTAGTCGGACACTGCCCACAAGAGAACTCTATAGAGTGTGCAATTATTTTTCCAACTGAAAATTATAGTGATTTGAAAAAAAACCAATTTATTTGCTTTTTGTGGTTTTGTCTTTGACATTATCGTAGTTGAAGGCCGTGCATAAGGTCGTCCGTCAAGATGAAGGAGAACCACTCGAGCTGGCATTGCGACAGTTGCTTGTAGAAACAAATCGAGTGTCAATATATATTCAGATATGTAAATAACTTTGATAAAAATAAACAAGAATATAGAATAATATATCTAATAAAGGAATCGAAAACATTGAACTATATAAATATAGCTATTTTCAAGAGCTGGTATTACCTCGTTTTGGAGGTGTCCTCAAGAGATAGTCCTATAACCTGTATAAAATATCAATTTATAATTGACTCATTTGGAACAGTGAGCCAGTTGGCTGCATCCAAGAGCAAGAATTTAATTGATTTCCACACCAATATCTCACCGTTTGCTCAAAATCTATATGCATACGATGGATTTTGTAGAAGAACGCGATAATTATATGAAGTATAGAAATTGTTTTTACGTTTTTACATGCACATCAGGAATTATACACATAATATATTATATTATATATATCACCTATTTAGCTGACATTTCGAAGGCACTTATGCTCACTTAGCCTTTGTGTAAATGTAGTTAGGGTATATTCTAGTCGGGCGTATCGCAAATAATACTACTAAGATTACAATATTAATATCTCCTATTTTGACAGGCTTCGATTACGATATTAAAAATCTTTTGGGTATACAAAGTCCAAAATAACAATTCCCCTGAATATATTTTTTTGCTTTGAGATCATATAGAACAAACTGGGTGTTCCTATAGATAGATCGTTAGCAATTTCACTCTGGTTACGCTTTTCAGAGATTGAACTGCAGAGAGTTGAACGTGAATGTTGCGCGTGCGCCGCATGTGGCGCAAGCCGCATTAGCAACTAAACGCACTTTAGAACCACTTCCGGTTAGGGCTACTAGGCAGGCAGAACAATGCAAACAAACAAGAACCAAAAACAAAAACAATCAAATATATAATTTTAGTGCTTGCAGCGCTGATGATGGTCAGCGCAGATTGGTTGGATTTTGAGTTGAATGTGAAGTGGAATAAGAAAGAGAAGCCACAAATATGTGGCTCGGTGCTTATCCTGCGCCGCGTCATTTCGAGCGGCGTACGAGCAATTAAAATTGCACAATTTAAATGCTTGTGCAAGCGGCGGCACGCGTCTTGTGTGGCAGAACGGGACGGACGAACGGCCAATGCGGGTGTAGCCAGAAGAAAGAGGGAGAGAGGACAAGGAGCATTGCGTTTGTTTTGACAAGTGCGCACAAGTACTGTTGGGATATTTAGTTGTGTTGTTATCGTTCTTGTTGTTGTTGTTGTTGCTGCTGCTGTTGTAGTTACGGCTGGCTCTGTACATGCCAACATACATACATCAATGTCTGTACATACATATGTAGCTGTTCATGCACAATTTGTCGTCACTTGCGACGACGATGACTTAATTTGTTTAGCAGCAGCCCACAATTATAGCAGCTGAGTCCCAGAGCTGACCAAAGAGTCAGCCTCAGCTGCCGTCGGCTGCTCATTCGCACTCAGAGCAGCGTACAGCGTGCACATACACACATGTGGGCAGATTACCAAATATGAACATGGATATGGATATGGGCATGCACATGGATGCGGATATCAACATTAACATCAACATCGACGCCAGCGAAACCCTTGAGTTCTCATCGTATCTCCTGTCCTCGTTTGCCGGCGCCGACAGCAATGGCAGTGGCAGCAATGTGGGCGGCGATTCCGAGGACTCGCTTATTGGCCACGCTCGCAGGCAAGCACCACCTAGACAGAAGATTAATGCACGGGAGCGCCACCGTACTTTCAAGTGAGTTATCATTTTTGTATTAATAACGGAGCACACTTAATTCAATTGGTATTTACATTCGTTCAGCGTGAATGCTGCGTATGAGGCGCTGCGCGGTTTGATTCCCACGGAGCCTGTTAACCGCAAATTATCCAAAATCGAAATAATACACCTGGCCAGCAGTTATATAACGCACCTACGCAGCACATTACACGCAGGCAAGTAAAGTTATCACTTATTCATTTAATTGTCGCTTGTCCTAATACACAACTCTCCTCCCACATCCTCTCCCACAACCAGGAACCGATAGACAACCCTGTCTGCGTCAGAAGTGGGCGCACAAGTGCGAAATCGATGGCAACAGAGTTGCGGAGCGCGTTAACATTTGCACATTTTGCATGAGGCCCAAATTTTCACAATCGACGGGTAATTTAGAATAGTTTCAAGTTAAGGTAATAAAATATAATATTTAATATGTACATATATATACATATATATATGTTATTTGTAAATCGGGTTGCCTTCTACCTTCGCGCAATTTTTAAACGCCATCTGTGCACTGTTAAAAGTACTAAGAAAATTAAATGGTTAAATAAGAAAAATTTAATAACTTAAAGTTTTTTTAATTATAATTTTGCACATGAAATAGTTTTGAACGACCAACATGAAAATTATGATGTAAATGTATAAAAATTAATAATTAAAAAACAAATTTATACACATTTAATATTTGTGTAGCAGTTTTGCAACTGCTGATGTGTACTTTTTGGAAGATTAAATCAAATAAGTGTGCTTAGCCCATTTGTGTTCAATTTAATTTGTTCAGCTATTTAGTTTTTAGTTAGTAAAAAACACTTTTAAGTATGAAAAATATATAAATAAGACCATAACAGTGCCGTAATGAGCAAGGATGAAATGTCTTAAATATGCATATCGATAGCTCGATAAGTCACCAACCAACGTATATAAATTTCAAAATATAAATTGAAGAATTATGTATTAATATTTATATAGATTTGTTGTATATATATTATCACTCTTTTATCAATCTACTGCTTAATTTCCAAATATGAAGTGCAAACACATGTAGCAAGTCGCGAACACTACATTTGAAAAATGAAATTGAATCTAACGTGCATTTTTAGGTGTGTTCAATATTCGATAATAATTAAATCATTTAATCGATAGTTTGCCAATCACGATGGCTTACCGATAGTACAGAGATATAAAACTTTTATATCGATGTTTACTCACTTGACACTGTAAAGCCAGTTATATTTGACAGTTAATATTTAAACAATTAAAAATCGACTCGTTTTGGCACTGTTAGCGTCAATTTGGTATATCGGCTAAGCTATTCGATTGCCGTGTTTGGCATCACTAGCGCGTTCCCCTGTAAATGGTAGCGGGATCTATTTAATTTTTATTATATCAGTTTACTTTCGCTTTTCGAAAATGGGCGATATGCTAAATGTAAGTATATATATATCTGCCCATCTTGTATGATTATATGCATTGTCTGACTTTTAGAATTCGGAGATGCTTAAGAAGCTGGGCATCGACAGCTCTAATCAATGGATCATTTACGACGAACAGTTTGAGAAGTTTTTCAACTTTTTGTCAGAAAATATTACAGACTCCAACATTTTAACAGAACAGGAAGTACTGGAAAGTGAGGAAATGCAACAGCGCGGCACATGGCTGAACGAATCAGCGCGTATCCTCAAGCTGCAACAAATAGAATCGGAAAATCCTGGACTGCTAAAATACACGACGCATGACGTTGACGCACTTGCCCTCGAGGTGGAAGCCATTAAAGAAGCAACCAAGGATTATTTCATACTAATCGACGAAATGCAGTAAGCAATTCACTAACAACACAAAGCCTCAGTCTTGAATAGTAATACAGCTGCCATTAATTAAAGGAACACAAAGCACAGTCAAAGCAGCAAGCTAAGCGAGCTGGAGTGTTCGATTCTGTCATTGAGCAATGGGGAGAAGGAACTATTAGGCGAGTGTCAGACGAAGGCTCGTCAACTGGAGGATGTGCAGCGGGAGAACTCCAAACTTAGCGAGGATGCCAACAAGGGCTTCACCTTGCAGCAAGCTCCGCCTCTGTTCATGCACCAGCTGCCGCTCGAGCAGTACTTCCTGAAATGTGACTCATTCATGCAGTACTTTACGCTCTACATGAAGGAGAACTTCAAGATACAGGAATTTGCGGAACTCGAGGACGCCGAAGTGAACATGCAGCATTTCAATACCAATCTGGAGAACTTGCAGACGTCGTAAGTAGGACAAACACTCCATAAATGCAATAAGTAATACTATTTACGTACAGCATTCAGTATTATACACTGGAATATATAAAGGAGAAGGCCAAGGCAAAGGCCACACAGGCGTTGATTGATCACATCGATCTGAATAAAATTCACTGCATCAGCTTGGCGGACATTGTACGCGAAACACATGAGCTGCAGGTGCTCAACAGGAATCACCTGACTAGCACCTGCGACACTCTAATGAATGCACTTGCCATGCACGTGCAGCAGCACACGCAGCAACGCATTGAGCTGGTCCTCTACGAGAACACCAAGCTGAAACTGGAGCGGGCCATGCGTCGCCGCGAAAATGACAAGCAGTTAACGACTGTCATTTCCGATGCACTGTCCAATGCTGAACTTATTTGGATTGGGATACAATTGGACCTAGAGAAGAAGCGAAACTGTACGGACAGCTCCATCGGTCTGTGTATGCAGGCGCAGACTAATTGGCAGCGTATACAAGCGATGCGCTCGCTGAATGCCTGCTCCAGGGGCATCAGTGCACAGTTTGTTCACGAAATCGCCAGCCAACTATCAACACATCTCGGCCAGAACATTCGATCAACGGAGGCAAAGAGCTGCCTGTATGAGTATGAAAAGTTTGGCCGTCTCTTGACTAATTCTCTGCACAGCATGTTAAGCCGGAAGTCACAAGTATATGCATACGATCAGTTGGCCGAACTGTAAGTGCAAACGTCAGCAGTGATATGAGCTCATGGCTAATCCAATTGTATTTACAGCAAAGGTTTGGAGCAACTGCTGAAGCCCTTCGTTTATAATTCGCCGCTGGACCAGCCCATGTTAGAGAACGTTCGATATTTGTATCCCATGTTTGATGTTCGACAGCAGCAGCTGCGCTTCGAAGAGTCGCTTCGTCAGCTGCGTACTCAGTTCCAGGAAACGATCTTAGAGCGTATGGTTAGTCAGCAAGGAGAAAATATTATCGTACAAATTGAAAGAGTTTTTAACGTTTTGATATGTCTTTTCCACCGTAGGACAAGGAAAAGCTTTGGCGCTATAGTAAACTCTTGTGGATTTGGTTTCTTACCGATCCGCAACGCATGATTCATGCCATTGATGAGGTAAAGAAGAGCTCAGCCAAGATCCCGGCGCTAACGACCGCCATGCTGCGTCCCGTCGGAGGACTACAGCGCAAATGAATCCAACAGTTGCATGCACATCAAAGCCAATGCAATAATATACATATTAGCTAAGTTACAATATAAATAATATCAAATATTTATAGTAATGAAATCAGTGATTCTAAATTGCAAAATGTCTGATAGAACGATGGATATTGCATCTAATACCTAAGTACCTTAAATGAATATAAGTAATGTTTTGTTATCACATGAAACGAAAGTGAAATGAAATATTTGGCAACTCGAAGCTCAGCATTCTCTACTCTTCTAATTTGTGCGATAATCCGTCCCTCTCTAATTGAGTTGGTTTGAACCCCCCCTGTGAATGAAATAAAATATTTGTAGGCATGTTTTGTATGTTATTTTTATATCTTAACTTATTATATTTAAAAAACAAAACAACTAGATAGTAACTTAAAATCGATTAAAATTTCAAAAACAATTGAGAAAGCGCATTAATTGTTCTTATTGTTTACGGATAAATGTGCTTTAAAAAAAGAAAAGTAAAGAACTAATATTTTTTGTTAATTTAATTATATCATATACTCAAACTGATCGAAAGATTATAAATCGTAGTCATCATACCAGCAGTGTGTTTAAATACATTATACAAACTAACGTATAGTAATGGTAGTCACTACTAGCTATTGCAGTAGATAAGTAATCAATCACTTACATATAAGCGCTATCATATCCACAAATTAACTAACTACAAAATTCAATTGCATAAAGACATATAGTTTGCCTCTGTAAATATGAAAATACTGCACACATATATCATTTGATTGATCTAAGAGTAGTCTATTATTTGTAACTTATTGTCTACTTCATGTATTCTTATTGAATAACAATTTTCTTTTTATGTGTAAAGCACTGTCATATAAACTAGAGCCCTATCCTTTTTCACAAATTGCAAACTTCCATATTTAAATTCAAAACTTTCGACTAGCACCGCCATCGACAAGAAACTAAGCAAGTCTGAATAGCTGACAATGCAGGCTGATATGAATTGATGCGAATGCGTCATGAGGCCTAATGATTTATTTTAGGCATATGCTCTGAAGACTTAAAAAGTGTAATAAAGGAAAGCTAAATAAGCTGTAAAAGACTTAAATCAAATTCTCGTTTTTCATAATAGTCGCATTAACCAGAGACTTAAAGACTTGTAATCAAAGAACGAATTAATATCACCTGCACATGTGGATACTACATATAAATGAAAACACATTCTTATACTTTTTTATAGTTCACTCAAAAGATGATATTCACATATATTATTTTCTGCAAATCATGCTCGAGCTATACTCCATATAAATTTCGCTCTTAAGAAGTCAAAAGGCAACTGCGTCTCAGTCACAGTTAAATATAACACAAAAATCCTCGAACTTATTTTGTTACAAGCCAAATATGAATATTCAGTTTGGAAATGATAATCTTAAGTTAAAAGAGCTGTATCATTATTTACTTCCTTGGAGTTGTCTGTTCAAGAAATCATAAATAAATATAGCAACCGACTGCATAATACTTCTTTCTTAACGTCCCAAAAAAAAAAAAAGTTGCTTAATAAATTATATATTTCCTGATTTGTCATGCTATGGGCAGGGCAGGTCATTTATGGATCGATTAGTCGATTAAATCAACAACTGATTTGTTAACATAGTAGAAGTATATATTGATAGATATGTTTCACAACATGCCAGGCCTCCGAAACTACTCTTATCTTAAGTGTCCTCATATGGACAGACAGACAGAAAAACTAAACATAAATATATGAAAAGATATGCTATACAAAAAAGAATTTGAAGTTGATGAACACCACTTTTAGATACCGTTACTGTCTTGTTGAAATATTTTAAATTGATATAGCGAGTTAGTCTCGAGACTTTTCTGACTTCAGATGGCTATTCAAAGTGAATGGTGTAATTATTGGTCAAATAATTGAATGAAATTTTGTTGGCCAGTGTAGTTTGCAGAACTTATCATCGGCAATGATTGTTATTTCCTAATTTCAATAAAGGATGCACAGGTACACAATCGTGAGCAGCGGCTCATCCAATGTCCGTTGGCCGGAAGTAAGCTATCAAACACCTTGAGAGGACTCCACACTGGCCGATGCCTGCGATGCGTGCTTGGCATGTAATGTGCATGGGACGTGCAGCGGATGCATTAACCAGCAGCTCTTGCCACTTATGCCAATGTTAGTAACATCATAATTCCCCAATGGCTGATAACACCTCGCAACATGGTAGGCGACAGAGACATGCTCTGTTCGAAGATATTCTTAGAAATAAATAATTAAAATGAAGAAATGGAATGAAAAGTAAACATAAATATTAAAAACTGATAAAGTTTTCCTATTCCAATTTTGGTTATAATTAGCGTGTTTTTTGTTTTGAGTCTTACATTAAATTGGCAATATTCCGTTATTTGATAGCACATTAAATTTGGTACAGTTTGGTGCGCTTTGTGAACTGGCGAAGTCATTGGTTCACATGCCTTCAATAACGCTGACACTCATGATTGCAATGATTTTGAAAATTATTTTTAAAGTAACAGCCATGGCAATTACGTGGTCAAAATCCAATTAAAATATTAATGTCATTAAATACTTTATCCAATAAATTTAATTTTACTAATATTAAAATTATTTTTCCTAATTTTATTTTGATTTGGACTTATGTAACTTTAAACAGAACAAACGACATATGTGACAGTCGAAGAGAAATATGTCGAGGGATTCTATAATCCCTGATTGGTAACTGACTTACCTTGATTTGGAATATCTACAAGTGTGTTGATCTTGAGAGATATTCAAGTTAAAGTTGCTTTTGGAAACATATAAAAGATTATATAAATTATTTTTTATATAAAGTCCAGATTTTAGAATAAATTTAAATTATATGCTATTGATGATTCTATGTGCTCCATAAAATATTATTTAATATGGATCCAGCAATGTACACAACCAATATGCCCGTTTGCGCTAAGTGAGATACAAAAACGTCTCTCGAAATAAGTCTATTAACTGGGTGCATCGCTGAAAGCAAACGCAAATAGATATGGAAAGAGTTAGAGTCTGGGTGGGGGAAACGGAACTCGGGTCGATGTTGCAAAGTAAATAATAAAAAAATATAAAAAAAGGCGTGTGTGTGTGTGTGAAGGGGAGAGAGAGGAACCAAACAATAAAGAAGAGTAAAAGCAAAATAAATAAAAACAACCAAACGACTTGATAAAATATTTGAAATTCATTTCGCGCCGCCACTTCGATCGGCATTTCGATGACAGCATTTAATGGGTATTATGTAAAGGTTTTTTGTTGATATATTTGGACGTCGGCCAGCAGCGGTAACAAAGGTCAACCACACGCATGCGCGCCGTCGCAAAACCTGTAACAGCAGTTATACCAGCTATATGGCTGCATACATGATTTTTGGTTCCGGCCAAGCCCTAATATACATAAGTAACTCTGCCCTCCTCTCTCTCTCTCAAGTCAAGCAAGATTCATAACGAAGACAACACCTGTTGCAATTGACCCAGTTTAATATAAGACCCAAAGATGATTCCAGCCAAATGGCAATAAAAATATACTTTAATAGTCTCTAGAAATCTATTTGATTACACTGACAATACTTTTATTTTTATTGCCAATTTTAATTATTTTTATTTGCTTCCTTTTTGTGAAAGCTGAGCTTAAATACAAATCTTGCATTTGTGTGGAGCTCAATCAATTGTTAAATACTTTTATAAGGAGTCTACGAAGTCTTGAAATGTCTGAAACTTTATGTTAACGTCGAAAACATAGAAAACTAGCCTGTCGTTCAGATTCGTATCTGAATTATAAATAAACATAAATTATAGTTTGATTGATCAGATTATATGAATATATCATAATACCTCCATAAATAAAACCGGTTAAGTAAACTTCGAACTCAGAATAATTTTGTTATCATTGAAGGCCAACTACATAGCAATATATTTATCCATTATTAAAGTTTTTGTTAAAATTTAACATATTTTTTAAATATTTTTAAGTTGCTTTTTTGCCTGATGTTATCATTGGAAACATATACTCGTATAAGTCTGCTTATCCATGCCTTACCCAACATATAAGATTGTTGACAAAGCCGAAAAAAGGTGTTCTCAACCTTCATATTATTCATAATATATATGTATATCAAATTTTAGTTATATAATTTTTTCTTGTCAACTCTAAAAAAATCTAAAATCACTAAAATCGTCAAAAACGAAGCCAGATTTTTTCATAATTCTCTGCTTCGCACTCTACTCTAAACTAAAATTGAACATCAGTTTATTTGTCAACGGTAAAATTTTAATTTTATTTTAATTATGATTCGTGTAGAGCAGCAATACTATTTTTCTGAAGACTGGTGTTTATTTTGCTTGTAATATTTTTAAAAGTATTTTCTTCATATCACTCAAAAAAAAAAAAAAAACTAAAATATAAGTTTCTTATATCCTTTAAATATATAACGGCTAATCAGATTTGCAACAGCTCTCTGTTAGCAATATACCTCTGTTATATCCGTGTAGTTACAAGTGCATACATAAAAATGTTAGCTACTGTTGCATTTGAATACGCAATGAATTTAGCAGAGCTCTGTTAGCTGAGCTCTAAATCCTTAAACACATTTGCATACACAGCCAGCCAGCGCTGAAAGAATTTGCAAGACAATTAACAGTGATCCGTTAGATGCCGCTAACAGTAACTGCTAACAGTGCTCCTTTTAGTCACATATACACATATATAAGTACTGCTGCAAATTGAATTTGCAATAAAATTAACAGTGCTCTGTAAGCTACTAACGGCCGCTGTTAACAGCGCTCTGCCGACGTCGCACGTCGCGACGCTTTGCGGCTGCGCAGCTCGAAAAACGTGTTGTTGCCTTATGGCTGACGGCTGGCTGGTGCGCCTCTCAGCAATGGGCCGACAGCGCCTGGTCTACGCTTTTTGGCCACAAGCGCGAATTCAGTGCAACGGCAACTCTTGAACGGTAATGTTGGCTTAGCGGTTTTCATCCACATTGCTGGAACATTTGCTGATTAATTTGTACGCGAGATGAAATTCAAATTGAAATAATAACCACAAATTTGACTGAGATTGATTTATTTATTTTTTGATTATATTTTGTTTGTTTTTTTTTTTTTTTTGAGTTGTGTGTAAATCCAATAAAAGTCAATCACAATAATCAACTACTCAATGCGAAAGTGTTTTTGAACAGAAGCAAAAACAAAAACTGAAATGAAATCAAATCAAATGAAATGAAATGAATGTGCAGAATTGTGGTAAAAGCAACGCCTGCCGAAAGTGAAAAACTAAATGCGCAGACGCGTGTAACAGTTTTTGTTTTCGATCTGGTTTCCATTGTTGTTGCTTCAGTTGTTGCTGTTGTTGCTGCTGGCTTAGCGCTGGGCAGCAGAGCATAAACGATCGCAGATCTGCGCAGGCGCCGCCGATTGCACAAAGTTTTGTGCAGCAGCCGCAAGCCACCAACAACAACAGCCACAAATGTAACAACAATAACTTACTTGACCCAATTTTAACATGCATGCTCTTTTTGCTTTTGTTTTTGTCTCTGTTGTTTTTTATTTGGGTACAAACATTTTCGCAAATTTTTGGAAAATTACAAAAAATTCAAATTGATAAATGAAGAAAAAGCTTTTGCTGGTAGTAGCGCCGCCAAATAAGAAGGCCAGCCCGTTGACTGCGTTTAGCTGCAACAATCAACAAGCAATAACAGTTACAACATAAACGAAGTGGTCAAAATCGGTACACACACGCGCGCACAACACTCACACACACACACATACATATTGAACTGCATACAACAACTACGCTCAAAAGTTGGCCATAAAAGCCTCGCCGCCAAAATGCTTCCGGTAAGTTTTGCAAACAAAAACAAAAATAAAATAAAAACAACAAAGACAAAATCACTTTTGCTCATTTCGTCTTTCGTCATGTCATGAAAACTTGTTGCGCTTGTTGCGTTTAGCAGCATTCCAACATTCGAGTCGCGCTGATTATATGATCAACAGGATAAACGCCTCGAGCAACCTTGAAAGTGCCCCGAGGCGAAAGTTGTCGCCGCTCGGCCCATCCCAAGGGCAGAGCTGCAAACGGCAACAGTGCTGCCCAGACATATGCATACACATGCACATACATACCTACTCATATGTATGTCTCTCTGTCAGCCTGCCTGCGAGCTTGCTATGTAGATTCGCCACGCACATCTACATATCTAATTCGTATATCTCTGGCCAAAAAGCCAAATTCGAATAAAAAAATAAAGCTGTCAAATGTTCTACAACAGGTTTTCTGTAGACCGCATCTTCTGCTATATCTGTGTGCTGTTAATTTGTGATTTCGTTTTCAGTTTGCATTAATTTGCGTTGCTTAATTTTGGTCGAAAGAATTTGCGCTTCGATTGCATAATTTGTAGCCAGAGGCGAATGGCGCGCTTCAAATGGACATGTTCAGCTTTATTTTGTTATTACCTGAATAACGAAATACGTATATAAGAATTTAGACTGATATTGGTCAAGCAAATGATTTGAGTGAACTTACCAAAGCAGTGCTAAACTGATTCCTAACATTATTTTTTGACTAAGAGTTAAATGGCTTTGAGAGGAGCTCTATCCTTGGGCAGACCTCTAGGATCGCACACTTCTAGAAGCTATGTGGATATAGAGCTACGTGAAAGATAAGCCAGCTCTTGAAGTCTATCTATCTAAAGCGACTCAAAATATTAATTTTGATCGATAAAATGAAGTGAGTTATCGAAAATAGTGATCAGCTCTTATTGAAGTTTGATATGTAAGGCAAGAAGAGGGAGGACAAACAACTTTTTTCAAGCTTTTACAACCAAAAATCTGACTCCATACTGCAACTGGTACAGCTCTATTAAGCATTTCAACTTGCAGTCCATTTGAGAATCTGTAATACTCACAGCATCTGAAACTACTTCTTTCTTTCCCTAAGCGCCTTTGTCAGCACAGCTCTCCTCAATCTCTGTCAGCTGAACTTATGTCTCTCCTCAGACAAATCTCCGCAAAGCTGAATAGACAGAGGCAATCGAACTTTACTTTTGGATACAGCACCTCCAAGTCGAGTTTGATTCTTTATTAATAATTCCTGTTGATCTGTCTAATTATTGTTTTGATAGCTGTCAATTTCAATGATCGAGAACTTCCCGAGAGACTGTGAGAGTGAGGGAGAGACGCAGATGTGCTTAAGATTATCTGCACTGGCACTCAGCAATTCAACGCAGATCGCAACATCATGACATCATAAATACATATATCAATGTCTGGGGCAAAGAGTCCGAACTTTGAGCAAAAGCAAAGCTGCGCGAAAAACTAAAATAGAGTTAAAAGCTTTTCTAGCAAACCTAAGATTTATATAAACTTATCTAATTAAGAGACAATGCTATAAAGATATTTCCGTCTCTTCCTCTGTCGGTCTCAATGCAAACGAGGCTTTCAGGTTTTCATTGAATTGAAAATCAATATCATATCGGAACAATCGCTTGATTGACATTATTGAAGCGTGCAGCTGCAACTAAGGCAGTAAAGCCTTAATAGACAGCTAGAGTAACGTCTGGCTATCCATATCATAGCCTGTCTGAACTGCGTAATTGAGTGGCCAAAATGTCTTCAAACTCAAATTTGTTTATAACTTTTTATTTATATTTTATGGCTGTTTGTGCGGGCGAGTTGTGGGATTCCCCAAGTCATCAGTCATCAGTCATCGCCTATCGCTGACTCTTTCAGCTTTTTTCAGCTCTTCCCTTTACCACAATATTATTATATAAGCGGCGATTAATCGACCTATCTTAATTAAACTTTCCTGCTTCACATGAACTAATCATTTATAAATATTAAAAATTATTAAGCCAGTCGCAACTTCTGCTCGCATGGAAGCTCGCATTCTTTAGGCTAGTCTTCAAAGCCTTTCTGCATGGGATTTATTGGAGTTAGGAATATTTATTGTATTGATTACTTTCGCCGCAGAATTTGCTGTCTTACATAATGGCAGTCGCTGGGCTTTGTTTGGCCAGCAAACGCATTTCCCCATTAACACCTATTAAAAACTTTCGAACACGATTCCTACTCAGAAATCAAATTGAATTTGCCGTATTTATCTGTATCTGTATCTGTATCTCGTACCGAGCAGCTAGCGTGCATATTAAAGATTTTTGCCAGCAAAAAAAAATTTATTTGCCCATGTGCCGAGAGATATAAATATCAAAAGCATGCAATGCATACAAGCAAATACATACATATTTATAAACACATATGTATACATATATATACTTTTACTTTACTTACGTTCGATTTCGAATTCGATTTCGGTTTCGTTGACGATTTCTGATGGTTTCTTTCACATCCGCCTTGTGCGTATGCGATTGCTCATCACATCTGGCCAGATGCTATTGATGGCCCATCGACGGCTATTCACGGACCTTTAACTGTCATGCAAATTTTTGGTTGCGCATTTACACAAATAATAGCAGCAGCAGCTGCTTGAAGAAGATCATAGCTGCGCGCATGCGAAAATAAAATCATCGAACTAAACTTGTTTCGCTTTTTGTTTCTTTTTTTGTATTTGTATTTTTGATTTGTATACGCTTGGTAGTCAAATATTTTGGACAAGATTTCGGCGTTTAGGGCGGGGGCGAAACAAGTTTATTGCGACAAGTGTCCAAGACTGAAAATAGCTGCTCATCATTGGTTCGGCATTTGATGTCAGCTCCGAAATATGCGTGCGACGTGCGTAAACATATTTCAGCAACAAGCTGCATACGTGTGTGTGTGTCTGTGTCTGTGTATGTGTGTGAGTGTATTTCATGGCGACTCCAAAAGGCGGAAATGATGCACCTTTCAGTGCTGCCCAACCCTCGTCAGGTTTCTGATTGACTGAGGGCGTAAGAATGCACTTGCAGCACGGCAACACTGCCAACGCTACCTTTTATATAATCTCGCCCTCTCCCCCTCTCGCCCATGCACAGCTGCTTAGCGTGTGGCGTTTATTTGAGATTTTTTAATCGCACGCGCTTCTATCTGATAGCTGATTGGCGAAGCTTGGCTGGCTGGCAGCTTTGTGCTGATTGTCTTACCGGTTTGCCAATTAAGCCACGTCGCTTGAAACGGCAACAAAATGCCTGGCTCCATTGCTGCATCCACAGCTTGTAATGTATCTTCCAGAAACAACTTTGTTCAGCCCATGGCAAGCCGCTTCGTTACGTATGCAGCACAGCACACATAAGCCCAGCCGTATTTAGATGCAGACATGCTCCAGATACTGCTTAGATGTGATTCAATTTCAGTTCATTCGGGACTTGGGCCCGCATATTATTTACCCTTTTGCCAAAGCCGAAAGCCACGCATACATCCGCATCTCTGCACATGTGTGTGTATGTGTGTATGTATGTATGTGTGTATGTAGGCGCAGTTACATAGCTTGGCCTGCGTTTATAGTGCAAACCAGTTGCGCGACTTGGGCTTGTGACAAAAGCTTTGGGTTTATCTGAGCCAGACTCAGAGTGAAACAGTGAAGTATTCATAGCCAAAGTGATTTTAAGCAGATGTCTTTTCTAATCAACAAATCAAATTTGATCAAGATATTAACTTGGCTTGTTTTATAAACCCAAATTCCTGTCTATACTAAGCTGCTTACCTTACCAGCTCTGTTCACCTGCCTGTTATTCGGCTCGCTGGCAAATATATCATCACAAGATTTAGTAGAGACAAGTGAGAATCGAATCAGCTGTCGTTGATGAACGATCATCTTGCTCGTAGAGCATATTATAAGATTGTTCTGTGCTCCGCTCTTAAGCTAATGAATGATTCATAGTGATTCACTGTTGGCTGTTAGCCAACTGCGGGTGTTCAAGCCAACTTTTCCCTTCTTTCATTACCAAACACAATCGCTTTACAGCAAAAAGCATTTAGCATTAAGCAGAGTTCCCTCATATACTTAAGTTAATCTTTTTATGATTTATACATGCATCTGGGCTGCGCATATGGGCCTTGACAAGCTTTCACCCACACATTGCAACTTGTGGCAAGCCAACAAACTGCCTCTAAATGTCAAGAGTAGTCGCGGGAAAAAGACAATAAAAGAGCTTACCATTTGCCATAGATCAATATTTTTATGCTCTTTCAATTTGTCGAGTGACTCGAGTTTGAGGTAAACACATTTCTTTGTACGCCCACAGCCTGAGGCAGTTGAAATAGCTCGCACAATGCATCACTTGCGGATGCTCTTGCTCTTGGGCAGAGAGTCAACAACCTCGCGTCAACTGTGAGCAGAGTATTTGGCAAGTGTTAATACCCCATTGCCGTAACAACCGGCCTTGCCCAGGTGTTCTACTCTCACTTTTTGTCACTTTCGCATAAAGAATATCGCTCGAAACAGGAATGAAAAGCAAAAACATATTCCAGTTTTCGAGTCTATACAAGTCTCACGAATGTGTGATATATATATAAATATATGTATGTTAATAGACCTCATTCAGGTCGTAGAAATATGCGATAAATGTACTCTGATTGTGTTAACTGATTCTGCAGAGGTGTCTCTCTCTCTGTCTCTCGATACAACATCGATCAACAGGCTATGCTCGTTGCAGAGGTCAGAGAGAACAGTTGAATTTGTGTCACGACACACTCGCAACTGTAAATGTGCAATTTTTTATGGCTTGAAGGTCGACCTGCTGTGCGAGTGGAATTGAGGCAAAAGCAAAGTTATAAATTAATTTTTTAAGCAAAGCTAACTCGAGAGAAAACACATTAAAATTGCCTCGCTGCTGGCATTTAAACTTGTTTTGCTCGCGGCCTGTCGACAACAACAACAACAACAACACCAAGTGCTGGCTGCATGC